TCATCTACGCATATGGTCATACAAACAATATAAGTTCAATATCAATCAATATAATTGTCGACCTCAATTACGCGACACGGAGGTGTCAGGGATAAGGACGGATTAGATTGTATCCGATTCTGAGTTATGTGGAGATGCGGTTGCAGGGGAGATCAAAGATGGGCCGCGGAAGCAGTGAGTTTTCGCCCGCAATCGGTTCTCGGAAACCTCGCTATCACTCGTTCACAACTCAAGTGACAACACGCACCGCTACTGAGAAACAACTTGCAGTCTGAGTACGCATTTCTTCACTGTGCATTTTATAAACTAGACATTTTAGTCTCCCCGTGACCACGGCTGCAGCAAAGTATTCGAAACGTCTGGCCGTAGTTAAAATAATCCCCAAATAAGTTTAACTAATTTTTTTTTTTATTTTTTTTATTTATTTACAAAAATTCCTACCTTAACAGGTTAAACCTAATATTACAGTTTAACCTTATCGCGTTTTAAGCCGTTAAAGTGTTTTATTTAAATTGATGTCTAGACAAATACTATTTGTTGTTTACGCGAATAGTACACATTTAAATAAAACACTTTAAACGGTTTAAAACATGAACGAGTTAGTAGTAGTTAAACTTAATTGAAAATTGAAAAAACTGCTGTTATAAATACCAATAGACGAATTTAAACTATTTAAGAAAACCCTTAAATGCTAAAATTATCGTCGTCACGGAGTGTCAACATCGGACCTCATGATCTCTCGTTAAATATAAGCTTAACCATAAGACCAATAAGGTAGTAAAATTCAATATATGGAACACATATTGTTTTGTGCAATAAAAAATAAACAAAAAGCTATTTCTAAATTAGTAAAGGTCGTGGCATATTAATAAAGTATCTTGTATCGGATCAGATAACATTATTATTTTTTTACTTAAACACGACTGACTTACAACCTTCTTCATTATACATACCTACTCTATCAAGACTCGATCGCAGATCATGAATTTTTATGACAGCAAAAAGTTGACAATTTGAAAGTCTTCGCATCGTCCCGCATACACTCCATGCATATTTATACTGTAATTATTTCGATGCAATGAATGATAAATGCGGGGGAATTGTGTAAAGAGGTCGCTCTGAAAAATCGTGTTGTGAATGAAACCTTATGTAGATCGACTGGTTTCCTCCATGTGGTTGTATATTCCTGAAGATGCTTTTAACGTTTCAATGGCTACGCTGATAAGATCTATGAACGTGAAATACCGTTTTCCCTATGTGGGGAAACATCTCTGTTTTCCTCACAGACACCCATACTTGTCTTTTTATTAAATATTTTAGCCCTATAACACTTATTATAATGTGCTGTCGACCCTTACGTAGCGTCATGTGCGAACGTTGCATTTTTCTATTTATATTTTAATATTAATTTGGCATTGACATGGGGATGTTTTTGCCAGGATGTCAACCTGAAATGTTCTGTTTCATTGGTCGATTTCGATTAACTTTCTGTGATTTCCCTGATCTCTATTATTTACTTTGTCAATAGCATTTAAACTCTTTCGAGGAATATGTTGTAATTTATTCTATATCAAAATGCGCTTACTCGCTGAAGCACAGATGCCTATGAAAAGATTCTATTTTCATTATAATTTACGATGTATCTTTAAAATTGCAATGCTATTTGTAAGTGATAATTCAAAAATGTTAATAGCTTTTCCTCATAGTTAAGTAAAACAGTTAAACCACTTGAAGGAGTCAAATGGAATTTACAGTTAATAATTATTGCAGTGTAAAACTTATAGATAGTTAAGTATCGTTTAAAACTTTACATTGCTAACGGCAGGCATTTCTAGGATCATAACCTCTGTACCAACTATTTTAAAATTTACAACATTCCAAAAAAATTATACCCTTTCTTCAAAGTTTAATAAAAGTTTCCGAAAATAACGATTGTGTTTTGTTTTTTACACGTAACAGTGAGTTACGCTTCGCATCTGAAATTGAAATATGGGTTGTGAGAAAGAACTTACATTCAATTTAACCAGCTCTTGGTTTAAGAGCAAAGGCCTCGTAAAAGTCCAATAAAATAAGAGATTCGCGCCGTAGGGACTTAAACCGCGTTCCTATTTTATTCCTTTTAACATTGTTCAGTCTGTTACTAGAGCAGACTAATATTCTTTAGTGCTATTTCGTCTGGATATTTTTAGAATCATTGTAAAAGCCATACCACTAATTGTTTTGTTTTAATTTTAGTATCAAATAAGTTTAGATCACCTCATTTAATTGATACAAGCACTAGTCTCTTTTAGTGTTATTGTGTACAATAAGTCTAATAAACATTAATTATATACAAATTTGGCTTCATTGACCCTGAAATAAATAACAATATACGTCTGAAAAAACGTTAGTCTGCAAGAACAATATCCCAAAGAATATTGAGACAATTCAATGCGTTTTACGGGTATTTTAAAAGGCGCTTTGTATATTATCGTACGTATTTAGCTTTTAAAATTCACCGGACATTTTACTACAAGCCTTATAAGACAGCTTACATGTCAGTCTTATGCTTTAATTATGCGCGTTAAATTTAGTCACAAAAGTTATTTTCCACACAGCAAAGGCACTTCTCAAAATAGTGTAACTACTGAAATTTGGATGCATGCCACAGATATACAATTCTGTATTTACAGATTAGACAACTGTTACCGTAAGCTGTGTATCTGTCAGCCTATCTGCGCTTTTGTTATGACCACCGGTGGCACGTATCTAGGGCAACCATATTTGCTTCTGCTAATTGCTGTAATGAGCTTTATATGTTTATTTAGTGGCCACTTAATTTGTTTGTTTATCGATCGTCAACGAACCAAGGACCGATTGAACAAACACCTAAATTATGTTGGACAATTTGAGCCCTTGGGAAAAAATCTTAAATAGAAAACTACTGTTTGCCACACAAAAACTTATGTGATTGCTATATTAGTTTTAAATAAAACAATTCAACGGTTTGTAACGTGATAAATATTAGTTGAACTTATTTGGAAATTATTTTAACTACTGCCCGATGTTTCGGATGCTTCGCAGGAGCCTTGGTCTTGGGGAGAATATCTTTATACTGTATATAACTAATATATATCGCGTTTTAAACCATTACAGTATTTTATTTTATTTACTATGTGCATTACGCGCCACTCATACAAAGAATCATTACACTACTTAGGGGGGAGATAATAAAAAAGGAACATACAAATATGGGGTATGATAAATAGCGCGTGAAATTGGCTGGCTGTTTTTAAGAATCACGAAAGGTATTTATATAAAAATAAAATGTTGTGATGTTGGCCTTTTCCGTTGAATTTAATAAATTACCTCAAAGACTTGAGCCAGACCCATAGCTACACTGCACACTCGATAAATCTCTTAGCCGTGTGCTAACTTTAAAAGTACTTTTTCTTTTTCCCTGCGCCCGCGCCATAGTGGACAGATTCTTTAGACGATATGTGTTAAACTGAACCCGTAATTTATTGCCCACAGACATTTTTCAAAGTTCGACGAGGTTCCCTGCATGAAATTAAAACCCGATCTTTATGTTTATGGGTGTGACGCTGAACACAAAAGGACAATGCGTCGTTTATTCAGTACAAAATTTAAATATTTTACAATTAGGATAGTGAATATATATGCCTAATTGTGCGGTATACAAAGGGTCGATTGTGTGTTTATGTGTAGACATTATGTGTAGTTATTTTATGTCCTTATATTATATTTATTGTATTGTATACATATATTTACTACCATAAAAACTAAAGTAGACTTTTATGAGGTGGCCTCATTACAAAGGAGCAATACGTTCTGATTATTAACTATTATTCACAAAAATAATTGTATTTTTATAACCGTACTTGTAGCAGTAGCGTAAGTTGAAACTCATGAGTTTTATTAAATTAGAAGTTTATTAGATATAGCATCTGAATAGATAGAAATGTTATCTGTCTGTATGTGTGGCACGCTTATATTCAAATCCACAACTAGCTTTAAAATATCTGCTGTTGGCATAGTAGAAATGTGAAACCGAATTAAAAATGATTTGCATTTTTTTATCATATTATTTAGAGAACAATTTCTTAAATATTAAGATGCTGACGACACTTTGTCATACAGACGAGAGAGTTGCGGGCGGTAGCGAATAATTATGAACGACATTCCGTTTACTTTTGTGTTTTACAAACAAACATATTTCTGTGTCCGTTTCACAAAATGATTATTTACAGATAATCAGACTTCTGTACTCTAGTGCTAGGTTCAACTTGATTCGAACCCAGGGTAACACAATTATATATATTCGTGCTTAACGCAATGCTAGGCATTGAGCTAGGAGGCGATTACAGCTATAAATAAAACTTTATTACCTAAAAGAAACATGTTCTACTGCGTAAATCAAAATGAAGTGAACTTTCTAATTGGTGTCGGCTTATTTCAATAAGCGAAGTTTTAATTGGTTACAAATATATAAACGCAAATACATTTCAATTTCGACCTATATTCGTAGGACAGCATGGATTCTATTAAACTTTTATAGCTCTATAAAAAACCGCATTGATTACACTGCTAAAAGTTACCTACTTTTACGATGGGTCTGATACCAAATTACATTTATAGATACACCATACATTTTTATTATTTTTCGTCATTGCTTATCTAAAAACATACACGTCGTGTTTTTAACAAGTATTACTAATAAACTATTATTTTAATAGAATTCACATTCTAATTATCCCAATTTGCAAAAAAAAAATCTAGACTATATCGCTTATTATCCACTTTTTTATCTATTTACTAATTGAATGTGAAAAATATTCGGGTTAGTTGCTAGGACGAGACTTAAAGAAAGTTTAACCAACTCAGTTTTATATTATTTTTACATAATTTTTTCCTCGCAGATTATTCGTTGTTTTTATCTATGTGTGTTACGAAATTGTGTCTTGATTTAAATTAAGTTAACGTACCGTGTTTGTCCACAGGCCGTCTGTAACCTTTATCACACCATCTATGATCGTGGAAAGACATGGCGCGGACGGGCGAACGCGGTCGCGACCACAGGAAGCGGCCACTTCGTGCCACTACACAGGCTCCGTCAGGGGGCAACCTTCCTCCAAGATCGCTATCTCAGCCTGCGATGGTCTTGTAAGACTTATCCCCATTTCTCTTACACGTATAATGATGATAAACTACACGACAGACCACGTACCATAATAAAGTGTATAACAGTATTAAAATACCTTTACAAAGCCGGGGACTACTTAAAAATGCAACTAATAGCGTTAAACCAGAAAAGTTCTGTGTTTGATACCAAAAAAATCGCAATTATTTCCTTTAGATAAAATTAAGCAATAAAACAGACAACGTAAACGCTGTGCTCATATTTTGTATAGTTCATGGAGAGTTTAGACCAAAGGATTGATTGTAAAAGTGTTATTTTATAAACAGTATGTATTTTAAACAAATTACAAATGCTGATTTATGGTAAATACAAACAAAATATCAAACGAAATAGAATTATTAGTGATTACCATATATTACGAACCCGTTTTCAATAAAACACAAAAATCTCAAAATTTTCGCATTATTATAATTCTTGTTTTAATTTACTACCAAAAAACTTATAACTGGTATCATTAAAATCATAATAAATGTGAATGAAATACCGGTTTGCAAATTAAATTATAATTTTTGACGGAACAAAACGAGAGAAATATGTAGACGAGCATACTGTTTTACTGCCCTGTTTGAATGACTTGTAATCGTTTATCTTATAATTTAAATTCAAACCGTTAAAAAACAAATCGATTACACGCGTCAATAGAACGATAAGTTTAATTTTACATACTAGTAATACGATGAGATGTCGCGGTAACCATTTCTTAGTTACGACTTACGACGATGTCAAAAGGAAACGCTAATAACCGGTTTATACTTTATAAACAACTTTTTTAGATACTCACAAACGATATTTTAAGGGTTTCGATATTTCAAAAGGGTATAAGCTATACCTATTATAAAGATCTTGCTGTTAGTATGACTGTCAACTGTATTGCAAGAACCGTGATCATAGAGTTAATATTATTACAAATTGTGATATACAATGCATATCTTTTGCTGCTATAGCAACAAATATTAAAAGAAATAATTAAGGGATCATCCCCACCATCCAAAGGGATGTCCATCGCTTTTTGGTCTATATAATATGAAAAACAACGTTTCAATATTTAAAATTGCGTACTGAGCCAATGTCCTTAGACTTTCGAGGACTGGAATCGCACTGCTCTCTTATAATTATGAGAAAATCATTTTCAGAAATTTTCAAAGTTTCAGTCTATAAAAAGTAAAGTTCTAACCTAGCGTTTCGCCTGCAAATCATATTTAATTGTTATTTGAAGTCTGTAAAATCACAAAAATTAATACCGAATACAGTATACCATATGAATATTTAATATCTACGCATTAAATATATGTATTTAAAATACAAAAGGATCAAAAGGAATACTCAAAGTCAATATAGAATATTAATACCATAATTATTGACTTTTAAAAACGACAAATATTCGATTTGAAGCATAATTTTCTAATTCATTCAAATGAGGATTTAATTAAGTTATTTGTATTTGGTATTTGCTGGATCCGAGACCAATTATGTGAGAAGCTTTATTGTATCATGTAGTGTCAGAATTTATTATAATACTATGATAGAGACCTAACCGGTTCAAGTTGAGGTTGTGCGAACAAAAAGTTTTAGACACGATGTAATTAAATATAATTTACACTTGGTTGACTCGAGGTCGCTGCGTAGACGCTTGTCAGTTTTCATTAATCAACTTTCGATCTTCTTCGACTCGTTACACCTGTATATAATCATGGTGGGCTTCTGTCTAGTTAAAATAAGGTATTATATTACAATTCGTAAATAACTAAAAAAAAATTTATGGCGAAATTAGTTTTCGTAACAAAAAATACCTTTACCGTGGCATATCAATATAACAGAATGTAAGGATCCGCTGAATGGGTCTTTCGCACACGACCTTCTAACTCGCAAGGTCGGCGACATATAGGCTGGCCGGTCGCTCAACTCATATAATACATATTATTTTATCGACATAGATAGACATTATAGAACAGTAAAGGTAATATGATATCTTTTCTCAGGCAGGACATTTAAGAACGGAGCAAGGAGAATATTGGATTGAACCGTCTAATCAAATATCCACCGATAGTTCTAAAGGGCGACCGCACATTATCTTTAAGAGATCAGCGGTTGATAAAGTCAAATCCTTTTATAGAGAAAAGAGAGAAGTTAGTAGTAGAACAAACTTATCTAATTATAATGGTGATAGACACCAGCGTTATGAAAATAGCAAGCATAGCAATAATAAAAGAATCAACAAAGATGTTATGGACCCTAGAAGACGAGCGTACCTTGAAGAAAGACAAAGGCGGCTCGAAGCGCTTCGACGAGACCCAATGTCATATAGAAGAGAGCAAATCAAAAGAGCTGAAAGAAGAAGAATGCATTCTGTCTCGAAAAGCGTGTCAATTGAAAATAGTAATTCAATAGAACAATTAAAAAATAAAACCCACAGCAAACACAGATTTGAACAGAGGCCGCGAAGAATACGAACAAGACGAAGGCGAAGGTCAAAAAATTGCGCTACGAAGCAACCTCGTTACCAATGGGAGAATAAAAACCAACGAAACATTAAACTTGAGGATCACAAAAATTCTAGAAATAATAAGGTAGCTTATTAACTGTGAATTTTTATTTGGCTTTAATATACATCAAAAAAGAAGTACCTATTTATTACGCACAAACAACTAAGTAGATAATTCCTAACTTCGCGTAACATTATTTGCTGAGGTCGATTAAGTAGTAAAAGCTTTTCGATGCACTCCTCGGTCTAATAATCTATATTACATAGGGCTAGTGAGTTCGATCCTCATCGGGTACAATATTTATTTCTTTCTATTCTATTCACGTCTGACTTCGTCTGAAAATGGGTGGAGGGAATATCGAAAATTCCAATCGGGTCACGTACCACAGACAAAAAAGCGTTTTCCAAATATCCAAAGCAAAAATAGGCCGACAGCGTATCTTATTGAGATGTTACATGGGCGTATTTCACATTCCATCAAATGGACCCCATACTTGTCTCTCCTCCTCCGTTGTTAAGAAAATGACTAGTAGGTGGTTTTTTACAAGATAACGTATTATATTAATAAAATAATGATTGATGTAATGATATCTATGGCTTATTTTAGAAATACCATCATCGTTCTCATCAGCAATTGAACAGCCGATGGGGCCTCAACCAAACAAGACGATCCACTCGTTCTGTGAGTAAACCGCGACATGTCGAGGTACTTCTAGTCGCCGATAAGTCTATGACCGATTTCCATGATCAAGGGAGCTTGGAGACGTATCTACTCACAATTATGAATATGGTAAGTTTTTTGATGAATTAAATGCTTGATGAGTATGCGCGAGTAGTGCAAATATCAATAAGTTGGGAAATTCGACGATGACGTGTAGGACACGGTAGTCCAATTGGTTAGAACAACAGCTCGGAAGGCTGTGGATGCCGGTTCGAGTCCTGCCCGTGTCCTAATTTTTTTCAATGTAAAAATGATTTTTAACAAATGCCAGTTAAAATTAAATTCCCAATATTTCATTATTATCAAAGTTCTAAAGCGTGTTTTGCAAATATGTCTACTGTTTGCAATTTATCTGTAAATAAATATCGTTCACACAGTAAAGTTTGTCTACAGGTATCATCTCTGTATATGGACCCATCCATTGGCAACTACATCAAGGTTGTAGTTGTGAAAATAATTCTGGTAGAGGAGTTGCAAGCGGCACCCGATTTAGAAGTGACGACAAACGCTGACTCCACACTGAACTCATTCTGCCGCTGGCAACACCAACTCAACCCTAATGACGATAAAGATCCACATCATCATGACGTCGCCATACTGGTCACACGCCAGGATATTTGTAGCCAACACGACTTACCTTGTAGGTAAGTTACAGTTCATAAACTTACTTATTTCGGGTAGAAGTTGGAAATAGTTAAAGTATTTGAACGATTAAATTGTAAAAATCAAACCCGCTTTCTCTCAACGTGCTGGATTACGATTTACGCAATAAAATTGCGAACGTAAATATAGAACTAATAGTTATTGATAATCGTAATAATTTTTGCAATCTCGAATCGAGACAAGGTCAATGGCAGAAGCAGGCGTCTGTTTGCTGAGTAAATAGAGTGGCAGTGAGTAACACGCGCCAAAATAGAACACTTTCGATGTTCGACGATCTCAACACCACCTGCTCAGTGACTTTGCGGTCGTTGTTCAAAGAAGCGTTAATTTCCATTTGTCTAAAGTCAGTCAGTTGGTGCAACAATTATTATTTCTTAGAGCTACAAAGTTTAATATATTAATTGCATTAAACATATATATTACAATTATAATGTTACTGTTAAAGTCTGATTAACAATATTAGTGAAGAGAATCCCCAAACAAACCCTTTCAAAATAACTTTTATAATAGAATTTATTGTTTGATGTAAAATTATAAAACGGTCATTAAATAATGTTTATAAGCGCTACAGTGGCTTTATAGAAATAGTTTAGCAAACATGTGTTATTTATTACGTCTAAGTTCAGTAACTTATTATAGAACTAATGTATCAACAATTTGCTGGAAATCCCTATGTATATTAAATTTTTAATTTATCTCTGTAGACAAGCTTATTTCAAAAGCGTGACGATAAAATAACATGTTACATGTGCTAATATCAAATAAGGTCGCGGTCGTTTATATCAATGTTGTATTGGTTACAACTATTTCTCGTGAATGTTAAAACACACACACTTTAATACATAATATGCCATTCATTTTGAACCTCGATATTTTTATCGAGCACAAAATCGTTAACGTAAAAAATTATGTAAATGGCATCCTCACAAAAAGCTGCAGGAATTCCGAGTTACAGCATTTTTTGCATATATTTACGAATCGTTAAAGGCTCTCTGCGCGTACGCCGAATTCGTACTTCAAAAAGGCCGACATTAAGGCCAAGGATATACGATAAATACAAATTGAACATTCAAACTGGACAAAAGCCTATAACGTCTTGCGTAATTAGTAATAAAATTATGTTAGCGATGAAGTAACGATTACCAAATATGTAAGCACAGGTTAACCTACCACACCTCTCGACCATCAATCTATTACGTTACAAACGAGAAAATCTTCAACACGCTGAGCAATGTATAAGTGTTCATTTGTTTATATTTCTGTAAATATTTTGTGTAGACAGGCTATTTAAGTCTTCGAGGTGCAGTAAACGCAATACGTTATTTCGACTAAACATCCACATCCATCCACATGCTGGAAAAGCGGCTGACGCAAAGCAGACCGCCCCGGCTTATGTAATATCGAATTAAAACTATCGCATACTTGTTTATACTTTAACCACCGATGAAGTGTTTATTGATAAACGTTTTGTGAGGTTTTCGCTAAAACTTGTGTAACAAAAATTAGTGATTACGGATGTTGAAAAGCACTCAAATCTTTGGGTGGTAGTTAGAATTCATTTCGGTTGCTTTGCAGCAGCCGTGGTCAGGTAAGGTTAACTAATATATATCGCGTTCTGAACCGTTTAAGTATCTAATTTAAATGTTTACTACTCACATAAACTACAGACAGTATTTAACTTAGTCTATTTCAACATATTGAATTGATTGTTTAAAAATACGTGTTTTAAAATTGACCGCCTCCATAGCACAACGCTTGCTTAGTGTTAAGTACGGAAGAACCTGTCAAATTATGGGCAAACAAAATAGCACTTTTGTGGGGCAGGGCACAGACTACTTGCCCCAAACCGTGTAATGAATACAATAAGCGGTTACGGAATTCTGAAGTTCGGTAAACGGTACAAACAAGTAGTCGAATGTTCTTGGAAGACGGCAATCAGAAGACAATGAGCGTATACTTAACGGTGTCAACCACAGGACGCTGAGTTCGGAACACCATGAATTATGCATCTCAAAAAAATGCTGTCACCAAAATGGACAGTACGCGATTAACTACGTCACAGATCTACAATCATTTACAATTACAATTCACAAAATATAGTAGTTAAAAACAATTACAAATAAGTTTAATCTATTTCGCGTTTTAAACCGTTAAAGTGTTTAATTCAGGTGTGTAAACTACAGGCAGTATTTACTATAAAACGTGCTTAAAATAGAGACTTAAGAGTCACAAAACAAACAAAATTAAGAGAAAAAGAACTCGGAGAAGAGCTATCGAAAAAGTGAAAGTTCAATTTCTCTCATTGACCGCACTATAGATCTTGTTATAAATAATTCAATTTACGTTCAGTTAGATCTTCTTTTTATAATTATTACAGTATCTTTCAAATTTCTTACTAGAGCGGCAAAACCCAATAAAATTAGCCCATAAACCATACGAGAGGTGCGTGTATCAGTAGAATGAATAAAAAAATCAAACGAGGAGGGGAAGGACAAGGTAGTCCAACTGGTTAGAGCAAAGCACAATACACTGCCGGTTCAAATCCTACTCGTGTTGTAAAATTTTTCATTCTAAAATCGATCTTTAATTTAACACAACCTTTAAATTTTTTCTGCAGTTTAGGATGACCACAGCCACAGTACAGTTACAGTGTTTACACAGTAATAAAATTGGTACAACTGTACAAATTATTTAATATATTTAAAACTTTAACGCTTTAAAACGCAATATATTAGTTAAACTTATTTGAAAATGATTTTTAACTTCGGCCCGACGTTTCGGATGCTTTGCAGCAGCAGTTTAACTAATCTATCGCGTTTTAAACCGTTAAAGTGTTTTATTTAAATGTGTACTACTCGCGTAAACTATAGACAGTATTTTATTTAATATGTCTAGATTACAATATCATAAATGCAAATAAATTGATAACCGCACACGATAATGTGATAAATCGTTATCGATAGTCAGTTCGGCATTGTGGGTTGTGGCCGCGAGTTCCGAATACCGGGCGACGCCAAGCAGTCTGGCCGTTTCGACAACTTATCTCACCTTTTTGTTAATGTGTTTTTACTGAGGCGGAAAATATTCACCTTGTACGAGTATTATAAATACGACAGTTTGTTATGATATGTGGATGTTTACTTCTCTTTTACACTACAGGGGCTTGACAGGTATTGATTAAATCACTGCATTGGCATTCTCGAACATAGACTCTAAATTTTATTCCATATTTGAAGAAAGAAAAATTATAAGAATACACTAGGGTAAGAAGGCTGGGCGTGATAAGTCAATTTTTTATTACAGTACTCGTTTCATTTCAGCGATTCTAGTTTTAATTTAATTCAGTTTTCCACGTTTCATGCATTATAAAGTACTCGTACATGACTATGACAGGTATCTCATTAAACATAATGGTACACGTTGAGTTTACCTCAAGGTTTTGTATGAGAATAAAAAACTTCATTAAGAACGTGTTCCGTATAAGTACCAAAATATAATATGATACATACTAGAAAAATAAAATTGTTTGAAATAATTTACTGAGTGCGAATCTGAGATTTGTAACGTTATAAAAATTAAAGAAAACATTTTTATAACGTTACAAATCTAAGATTTACATTAAATTACATGTATGTAAATAATATGTTACCTGACAATGTTTATAACTGTGCCATCAGGTCCTTACATCTCTGTGACCAGTTTATGTTTCTTCGATAAGACTGCGCATGATTTATGATTCCATACAAAGGAGATGTTAAATCAAAATGTAATGTCATTAAGTCGTAATTACCTCGCGATTGCGGCGTAAATTGCGCGTTACATAACGTAACCGGAAAATTACGGCTAATATATAATTATTTATTTGAAAGTTTCTCCGATCATGAGATAAGTGTGACATACTTGTCGATTTTTTTTGGTATTTTGTAAAATTCCAACAGCTGCTTTAGCAAATTATTTACGAATCTATAGAATTTTTTTATTACGATGTGCATTCAAATTTCGAATCACACTCTGACATATAAAATATGCGTACAGTTGACCTCAGTTCCAAAAGTAATCCTTATTCGTTACCTCAATGCTTCTTAGAAAAGACATCAACGCGCGCAACATTGTTTTATTGCAGATGCAGTTGTAAATAAAGCGAGACAAATAAGAGAAATGTCCGCAATAATATTTTACTATGAATATATATTATTTTAGGGCAAATGTTTACAATAAAAAAATATTTATGAGTCGTTAAGAATGTCGATAAAATTGGGACGACCGCGTCGCGTGAGTGTATAGAATTTATATGCGTACGTAAAGAAAGAATTTATAACGCTTTTCATCGGTTTCCGTGTGAATCAGATGCGAGTATTATTAGCCGGCTATTCCCGGTCCGTCTGATCTCTACACGCGCTATGAAGTAAACTGTGCACTTCTAGAAGCAACACAATTTATTCTATATTATTTCACAAATGATTATATTTAATAACATTAATTGTTTAAATAAAACACCTCAACGGTTTAAAACGCGATATATTAGTTAAACTTATTCGGAAATGATTTTTAACTTCGGCTCGACGTTTCGGATGCTTTGCAGCAGCCGTCTCCCCGTGACCACGGCTAAAGTTTAAAGTTAGGTAGGTTTCAAGGTAAAAGTGTTTTATTTAAAGGTGTACTACTCGCGTAAACTATAGACAGTATTTAACATTTATTGTAATAATAAATGTTGTTATGTAAAAATCATTAAAAACAACACATTTTGTTCTACATTTTGGATTCTAAAAAAGTTATTTCACTGTGTCACCCGGTTGTCAACATTTTATCTTATATACTAACAAAAAATCTAAATTCATTATATATATATCATAAAGTTTATAAAACATCCTTAAAGTTCCCATAAATAGAACATAAATAAAATGCAAAATTTTAACTAATACGCTATAAGCGATCTTTCAGAGATTTAAATTATTTCAATCTAAATTTAATAATGTTACTTGATTAGTCACTCATAAGTCATAACTTAGTTTGCGAAACTTTTGAGATATTCATCTCGTAATATTAGGATCACACTTTTGTCTGCTTTCAATAAACATGTCACATTTTTATTTAATTAAAAATCTAGATTTTGAAACATGCACCTAGGTCTTGGTGGTAAATCATTCAATGAATTAATAATGCTTACATTAATTAAACGAGAGCAACTAGAAATGTAAGGGTTAAATCAAAACGTCTCATCTTTTATGCATAGTTCGTGTTAAATTGTTATAGTATTTTTTGTTATCAAATTTGTGTAAACAAATATGTTTATACGATGTTTTTATTACTGATGAATTTAAAATTCCACCTGGGATATATACAAATGTAACTACTTTTTATTTTATATTTGTTTCTTACCGAAAAATATAACCAAAATAGGTATTATTTGTATGCAGTTTACAAAAATAGTATAAAACATTTTCAACGGGTTAAAAATGCAAAATATAGAAAGTACCTATTATTTTTAACTGCTTAAATCTTTCAGACGCTTTGCAGCCGTGATATATATAAATATATACTTATACAATGTATTTAGCGTTTTTAATCATTTAAAGTGTCTTATTTTAGTAATGGAAATATTAAACTGATTTAAGACTACTACAACTATATGTCCTCTAGCTGGGTCAGAGCGTTATGATTATACTGTCATATAAATCACTTGGACAATGTAATGCGACATATTAATACATGCGTTTTTTTAGTACCCTGGGCGTCGCGCACGTGGCTGGCATGTGCAAACCAGATCGAAGCTGCTCAGTCAATGAAGACAACGGAATAATGCTTGCACACACCATAACACATGAATTGGGCCACAAGTAAGATATATTTTTAATAAATTATTATTTTGATAAAACCCATATTTTACAAATTATTGCACATGAAGCTTTATTAAAATTATATGTTTATTAAAAATTGAATTTAATGATTCTGGCGAGACAAACCCATGACCACACTGTTCCTTCCAGCGTTTGAGTTTTTGATTAATATTTTACCATCAATAGCACCTTACACCGGTAATTATGACTGTGTAGGTACTATTTAATAGTTTTTGTTATCGAATAATAAGAAATCGAAAACTTTATCATACAAAACTGTTACAATACTCATTCGATTCCTTTCACATCCAAATAGGTCACAATAATATTGCAACACAGTTTATAATCTGCATTATCTCATAACACCCATTAAGCTTTCATTGTTTCAAAGCGTGTGGTAAGTAGCAATTGATGTTATAAGTAGAACTTGTATTATTGTATATACTGTTATAATTACATTTACACTACTGCACACATTTAAAAGTTTACACGTTGGTTTTTCATGAGGGTTTGAACCTACAACGCCCGCTAAATATAGATGTAGATGTAGATGACACATGGTTGAATTTTATTAAATTATATGTTTGTTTTCTTAAAATGTTATTCTTCAACGGGGAGCACTACAATGTTCAAAAAGGTATATAACATAATATATTATATGCATATCTGCTCAACGGGAACACGTACGAAGTAAAATGAAAAGTACTTTATATAATCGTGATTGAATCGGAATTGATCTCGAGAACAACTGTTTTAAGCGCGATAAGTCCTGAGTTCGTATCCTGGGAAGAAAGTTCCACGATTGTGCTGGATAAAGTCTTATAATGAACTTACATGTACAGTGTCTACTCTATCCTTCCATCATGCCCTACGTATCGCCACTGAGATTTTCTGTGTATATACGTTTTAAAGTATTTTCCTGGCTTCTTAACAATGTAAATTCATCTTCCATGTTTTAGAAACACACTAAGACTTTTAAAATAACACAACTGATCGACGGCACCGCGGCGCCGGCGCAACGATATTTCATAAAACAAAGTGTTTTAGCTATAATCCCGACTAGTACGAGTTTTATTTAGGTTCGGTTGCTGAGTTGGATATACAGTTCACGCTACTAAACCAGGTTTGCCACAAGGCCACCGATTTAAGATTTTTAAAAGTAAAAAATTGGCCAAGTCCGCATCGGAATAGAGGAAGAGTTCTGTACCAATGACTAGATAAACGATGGATACACAAATTTTATATTGTAACCTTTTTATATTTAAAATGCTTACCTGTTGTCACTATAAATATAAAGCAAAAAAAGGGTAATCAATCGCGTTTTTTGCGTAAACTCCTTTATTAATACAATATAATTGTTCATTATAATATAATGTATGTGTCGCAAACTAAAAAAAATAAATCTTAATTTTCCTACCCATTCCGGTTCTTGAGCTATGGCCTGGTGGCCGACAGACCGACAGACAGCAGACAACGAAGTCATAGTTCAGGATTCGTTTGTACCCTTAGCAGAGCCCTAATTATGTTTAATCACATAAAGCTTGCATCTTGTGCAGTTTATATATAGACGTTGCGCCGCTCGACACATTTGCACAAAACGGTGTCTTGTTACACCAGACAATGGCAATCTAAAACAAACGCAGGTTATATAAGTTACGTAAACAGCCCAGCCAATGAACTTCTTCCACAGTAGACATATGAATGCATCATTCGCAGTACATTGCACTCAGTGCATTGACGCTACACTATCGGCCCACACATGTTATTTCTTATTTTTCGTATCTTCATGAATGAAGAATAATGAATGATTGCCATATGCTGACGCTCTATTTCTGGGACGGTAATAGAAATGTATTAATTAAATGGGAGGATATTCTAATTAATGTGCGAAGCTTCCGTTCAAGAAACCATGCAACCGCTTAAAACACTTTCACGGTTTAAAACGCGAAATATATTAGTTAACTTATTCACAATTTATTTTAACCACGGCCCGACTTACGGATGCTTTGCTGCAGCCGTGGTCACGAGGGACTGAGCCGTTTTAAACCGCTAATAGTGTTATATTCAAATATGTACTATTTGCGAACCGAATGCTTTAAGAATTGTTTATTTTTAAAGATTTGGTAGGCTCGTTGGTCCCATAGCAGCCATGTAGCTAATAAACAATGAAGTGTGGGTTCGATTCCACCAAGTACATCATGTATACATCAGAAATATGTCACACTTTGTATTAAAAATCTGAATCTGAAGTGGATGAAAAAAATATCGAAATTTTGTCAAAGTCAAGAACTGCCGTAGAGATGCTAGCTAGCCTTGAAGTGTAATCGATGCGTTTTCGTTTCGGTCAGGTTACAACAGTCCAAAACGATAATATGTTTCAATTGATATAAAGCTATTATGAGCAATAACATGGTAAAATAATAAAGTCTAAAAGGACTTTTAATGAAAAGGAATATAACTTTTTATTTGCATTTTAGTTGTCCTGTAGTATAACAAAGAATTATTTCAGTTTCGGCCTGTACCACGATACGGAGAAGATAGGATGTCATCGGAGAGAAGGGTCTACGCTGCACATAATGACACCTATTTTTGAAGCTGACACAGTTCAAGTAGCCTGGTCCCGATGCAGTAAGCGTGATGTTACGAATTTCTTAGAGTAAGTAACTTTACATTTGAGGACCCAACTTTATTCGTTACAGGACCGTCTTTATAGCTCCAAGCATTGGATTAAGCAAAAAGGATTCCAGGTTCTGATCTCAGATACACAAGAAGTAACCTAAGTTAAACTTTTTAATAAATAAGATAAGACGAACAAAGAGATGTGTTTGTGCTATGCCCCACACACGCAACGATAGTTCTATTCAATAAAACTTTAAGAGAAAATAAATATTTTCTTAAAATGCTTGGCAAGCATGAGTTAAATACCGTAACGTTATCATAAATTGGATTAAATATCTCTGTGGGCATTCAAAATCAATGGGCGTGGCTACTGGCCACACATAAAATGATATTAACGAAATAAATGTTCGTTTCTGATGTTAAGATATCGCGGCATCCATTCAAAGCGATTGGCCCAATTATATTTCCCCAAAGTAACCATCTTGTTCTTTTTTTACATTACACCGCCATTATGGAATTCGAAACTGACAAAACAATGTTGGGTAAATGACAGTTTTTAAAACGAAATTGCCGCATAAAAATGCATGAAGTCTTTTTTATGACAGAGTTAGCGCTGTCGGAGATTCTGTTTCGATAACGTTTTGTAAAATCATTATTAGCTGATTATAACCATCAGGTTTATATACCGCTATGATGTTTGAGTATTCTTGATCATGATTTTTGCTGCAATAATGAATCTTTTTAAAAATGAAGTACAGATCTTTTGTTTCAAAATTATGAATTTTAATTTTAATGTAGTTACATATATTTTGTGACATTCTAGTGCGGGCTTAGGCGAGTGCTTGAGTGACAGACCGACAGATGACGAGCCCTACGTGTACCCAGAAGTACCAGCGGGAGTCATGTTCGATGCGGCATCTCAGTGCCACCTGCAGTTCGGCGCAGAGGCAGTAGTTTGCGCTAAGCCGACGGAATTATGTGAACATCTGTGGTGTCTTGTTAACAACACATGCAAAACCATGCTCAGGCCGGCAGCGCCGGGAACCACATGCGGTGAAAATATGGTAATTAATTATCAGATATTCTTATTAATACATATGTAAAAGTTACGAGCTTGTGTGTGCTGTTTAATTGTTAAGCTTTGCATTGAGCTCGACAGATCCTAAATTTTAATCTTGAGCTATTTTTGATAATGTCGCTGGATACAAAAGGCCACTTAAAAAAGATTGACAAGGGGTACGGATGCAGACATAGTATGATTTACTTTATAAACCATGCCTCATGTCTCCTGTACTAGTTTTTTTACATTTTAGTTTTGTAAAAGTAAATAAGCAAAAACTTAACACAGGCAGGATAAAAACACTAATTATTACTAGGAAAAACTGCAACTGATGTGTTTTATGAATCATTCATAAATAACATGTCTGATCATTTTAATATGCTCACATTTAAGTTCTCAGAATAGATGCTATCTATTTAAATTATAATCGTTATTTAATTTGGAATTTCCAATGATAAGGAAATACACATGGTTTCTTTAATATGTAGTACTAATTTAAATGTGTGACTTTGTGAGGAAGGATGATAGTCACTTTTTTACGGAAAGACATTAAAATGGAGTATAATAAAAGTAAACGATAATGTTGATTAAATACTGTATAAGGTACACAAAAGTCATGATTTTGTGTAATTTAGGTATAAAAGAACATCATACAATTTTAAAATTTATTAAAATATTATTGATATAATACAGAAAAAAATTAACAAATAGTAGCTAAAAGCAATGTTTTCAAGATTCTATGACATTTATTTAAGAGAAAACGATTCGTTAAAAATTTAAGCCGTAAACTTTTTTAATTTTTGTCGTTACCTTCCGGCGACTCGAGACCCTAACGGAATTTCAATATTCCGAACACTTATTCTATATCCAAATTTTCAAGACGAATTCCAACTGAAAAATTCTACATTGATTAGCAACGTGTTTGACTCGGAGGGAATCACACCCACGACCCGTTAATTATTAAAATAACATTGTTACCATAAGACCAACGGTTCGATAAAATTCATAAATTTTATATATTTGCTTTAGTGGTGTCAAAATCAAACGTGCGTGGCGAGAACACCGTCACCAGTGCCTCGGGATGGTGGTTGGGGACCATGGAGCGATTGGAGCGAGTGTTCCCGAACCTGTGGTGCTGGTGTATCCACCCAGTACCGAGAGTGCAATAATCCAGAGCCCTATAATAACGGACACTATTGTATTGGCGATCGTAGTCGGTAAGAAATATTATAATTAAATCATTTGTATTTCAATTCTTTTACTTCATTTTATTTTAAAGAGACAATTTTTTTAAAATAGATAGCAAAAAAAATGTTGCTATGACTTCCTAAAACACTAATGTGTACTTATTTACTTTTGATCTATCAGTGCCGCTGATAGAATTAAAATTTTTATAGATGATCACGTAGTACCGACAATTACCCTGCTCCTTACATTATATTTTTATAAGAAAACTGGATTTTATTTTGTACACATAACAAACAACAAAATACCCTTACGTCAGCCTCCCTTCAATCCTTACCCGTAATTTAGCTACATACATGAATTAAGTACTTACACAATTCAACAATTTTATTAAACTTTAATTCAGTTTACACTAGATCTGTCCATTAAATCCATAATAAATTTCATTTATCTTAAAATTAGTAAGGAATATTTAACGGTCGGTAGTTAATAGTGAATAGCTACAAGTTTGTAATGTCATTTCGTAATTACTGAGCGTGTATCTTTAGTTGGTATATTAATATGCGCCTTGGCAGCTGTACACTTTGAAATCTGTTTATTTATAAGATTCCTAAAATTTGTTTTTAATGGTGGAAAATTTCATATGTAGGCAATCATATGAATTTATTTATATGCATTTTATTCTACAGACAATACCTGTTTTATTATTAACCTCAAAATGTCTTAATGCAGGTACAAAGTGTGCAACACAGATCCGTGCCCTATCAACGAGCCGACATTTAGGGAAGTCCAGTGCGCACGCTACAACAATATGACCTACAATAATGAAACTATCTCAGAGTGGATACCATATATCGACCAAGGTAAGTCAGATACTCGTGCATTCCAGGTGTATGTCGTCTTGTGAACAACCAGAAATCATAGATAACTAAAAAAGAATTCGTATCAAAGTTTCCATAATTATATACAGGTGCTTATTGTCTAAATAAAAACTTGTTTCCATGCATTATTACTTAACATTTTTTGTGCGTAGTCTGAAATTTGATACTCTGCGTCCAATTAATATTTTTTCAACTGAATTGTTGCGATATGAGGATTAAGACCACCTCCTTGGATGAGCGAGCAAAAACGATTAAAATAGTGATTATATACGAAGGATCTTGATATAAAACCACAAGGTGTGAAATATGAGTTCTTATGCCTCTTAGACTATGCCTCAAAATAACTGACATACTTGTAAATTTAATTATCACAGTACGCACACGATACAACAAAATGAGAGCAGTATTTAATAAAGATTTTAAGTGCTTAGTTTTTAAATTCGATAGTCGTTTGTGTCATTGATCGTTTTCAATACTTCTAAAATACTTTCAACATACAAAATGTTGCTTCAGCAATTCTGTTGTTTAAATTTACTATAGAACCATGGTAAGCGCTAAGTAAAATTAAATAAATATTGCTTGCAGATAAACCATGCGACCTTCAATGCGTACCTCGCAACAGAAATGATGTGGAGATGGTTGGAGGTTTCGTCATTGACGGCACGCCTTGTCGACAATCCATCGGTTCTAGGGACATGTGTATATCTGGTAAGCTTGATCCATTCACCGATTGTCCTCTCGCCGCATTCACCTCGAGATGTAAAAAGATGAATTAAAACAGTTACAGTAGGACATGACAATCTCTTAATATTATTTACACAGAGTCTTACACAGTATCTAAGGTTTTGTTCGTTATATCATAGTACGCGTACGTAAATACTAGTACTTATGTTTGGTAGATTAAAACTTTAACAACAACAAAAACTTTAGGTGTCTGCTACAAAGTTGGTTGCGACTGGATAGTCGATTCTGACGTAGAGGAAGATGAATGCGGCGTTTGTGGTGGCGATGGTTCCGCTTGCAAGACCGTACAAGGCATTTACAATAAGGATACTACAAGACGCTCTGGGTTCAGTGAGGTTAGTACACTTGGAATTTCAAAATGTATTACTTACTTACAAGATATATAAAGCCTGTGAATCGGTCGTTTAACTATGTATGTATGTATGTATATTTTAAATTTTAAAGAGTAATTTTTAGGTACACGTGTCATGTTCAACACTCAACAGTATTTAAACGCGAAGCTTTTTGAATTAAGAATAAATCAAACTTCGAATCGGATAGGTTTCCATCATCGTTGGATATCTCTTGGCAGAACGCCATGACACGAACGGATAGATAAAAGATGATATCTGTAAAACTTACAAAACTGTTGCTTCCCAATTTAACCTTGATGATGAATTCGTAATTATAATGTAGGTTGCTGTCATCCCTGCTGGCTCCAGAAACGTTAAGATTCAAGAAAAAGTTAGTCCTGGGAATTACATATCAATCGCCGGTGCCAAATCAAGTAGGATATACCTAAACGGTGCTCGGTAAGATCACCTCTATAATACTGTTAAATTAATATTAACGGTTTAAAACATAAAGAACGTTAATGGTCAATGCATTTTATGACCGGACGTATGGATGCTTTACATCTGCTGTGGTCACTAGTGACTACTTTTATTACCTACTGCCTACCAGCCAACTATGCTGGTCAATCGCACATTGCGGTTTCCTCATAAATATTACTTGGTGTACGATCAAAAATCGTACTTTAGACCCTACGAATATCAAATTATAATTAATGAATAGGTAATTTTCAGGAATACTACCCTAACGGAGTATTTCGTGGCGGGTGCGCCGGCGGTTTACGAACGAGATCGTGATTGGGAGAAAGTACGAATTAGTGGACCATTGGCGGAAGATATTAAAGTTTATGTATGTACCAAAATTTTGTCTAGACCTTACCAAATTCAAAATGTTACTTTGCAATAATTCAACTGCTAGGTTTTTATTGCACGATAAACCGGAAAATATGACCGTTAATTTTTTGTAACAAAGGCTGTATTACGAAAGAATTATTTCCTAAAGACCTTCCGAACTAGATTTAGGTTATTTTAAACTTGTGACGTCTGATTAAACAGACGTCCTTCTTATTGGCATAACATTGTCTTTCGGGCTGTTCGGCTGACGTGAACAAGAAGAGGATATCCTTCTTATTATTTCTATACAATATACAATATTTTCCAGCAACGGATATTCCGAGGCAGACATCGTAATCCGGGGGTCACGTACCAATATGTGGTGGACCAGCCGAAGCGACGTTACCACTACCGCGTGTCCGATTGGACACCTTGCTCTGTCACTTGTGGCTTGGGGCGAATGCATCGCTACTACCAGTGCTTTGATGATCACAATCGTATGTAGTTCTAATTATCGATCATAATTTATTACTTCGAGAACTTTTAAAAATCCCATATAACATCGCATCCACATTTTCAATATTTCTTTATTTATATAAATAAATACAGTAGTTATTGTAAAATGGAATTACTTTCAACCGCCTATTCGATTAGACGTGTTTAAGGAATAATTTTTGTGTACAGGACAAGTGGATCTATCACAGTGTTACCACATCGAGCAGCCGCGTCATGAAGCTCTGATGCAGCAATGTCGGCTACCTGACTGCACGCACTGGTGGGTCGGTCCTTGGAAACCGTGCCAACCCTGTCACATGCCGGTAAGCTGATTTTTATTCTATATGTTTAGTTATATCATTGTTTTATATTCCAATCTAGAAGCACAACATCAATAAAACGCTGTTTATGGTGCAATGCCTCCGTAGTAATAACTAAACAAACCATTTAGAAACATTATCACCTGAAATTTTAGATTTATAAAAAAAAAACAATTAATCATAATTTATCATTAAATATTTACATGGTAGCATTATATAAGTAAATAAAATAAGTAAAAAATTATGATACGGGCGGGACTTAATGCGGCATTCAGAGCGTTCCGTGCTTAAGTTCTATTTAAACATTCCACGTAAATTTATAAGTTCACTAAGATCTTTTTAAATCTAAAGTTATACTATTATTCTATTACAGGGAGAAGACGCAACAAAACAGAGGAACGTGCATTGTGTAAACAAAGTGTCAAACAATGTTGTTAGCGATTTGGAATGCGATCCTAGCACCAAGCCTATTCATTCAATACGTTGCCCCGATGTACCGGCGTGCTAATAAGGAGATCCTCAGTTTCCATGGAATATATCCTTGCGTATAAGCAATTGAGACGGCTTTTAAAACGTAAATTCTGGAAAAGCCGAAATTAACTATCGAAATCGAGTGCGAAACGATTACGTGACCAAATACGTGAATACGTGGTTGAGTGTGCCTTCGGTAATTGTTGTTTCGTGTCGTAACTTTAGAGTAACCCATCGAATAGGCGTATTTGTGTACTCGAATAAGTCCACTCTGTGGGTAGGAATCTCACAAGAAGTACATTAAACTGCTCTGCAATTACCATTTACTGCCATACTATTTAAGTAATATAGAGTTTTAGTCTTCCTAGTGTTAACGAATAATTTTATTTTATTGTAACAGTATTAAAATGATGTACGTATTTTTACACCAACTGTGACGTGAAATTGTTAGACGCTAATCAAATTTTGGACCAAAAATACCTTATTCAAATTCACGTTGCCATAAACACGGTTACTGCCACTATGACACTTATGGATAAGTAAGTATAAGTTAATTACAAATAATTAGTTGCTCGTCCAAGAATTGGTATTTTTATACGGATGAATTTTTATTACTTGTATTTATTGTATTTAATACTAGTCATAATTCAAGACCCTGTACTATTTAACGCTTATTCTTATAATTGTATTTTAATAATAATTGTAATACGTAAATACATTTAAGATCGAACAAAATGTCATAAGTATAAAAATATTTATTTCAACGTCCATCGCTGTGCCTTATTTCCGGAAAAATATGTAACCAAAATATTTATTTCTATTTCGCTTCGTCGTGTCCTCTAGGCTTAAGGGACTTGCATAATTATGTTAATTTTAGAAATATTTTGTATTTATCATTATATGCCTTACTACGCACGTAGGGATATAATTTTTATTGAGTCGCCGGATATTTCAGTTCTAAGATTCATCTGGAGGCGAATTGTCAATCGATTAATACACAATTTTAATTGATGATAAAAACTAACCTTTCTTTTTATCATTCTCACAAACGATCACACTGTACTTTATTACAATTGTGTATTTGATTTGATATGCCAATAAAACGATGCATTGTTTTATAACGACTTTCATTGTACCTAATCGACATGAAGATTCAATTTATAGATACAAAATTTCCTCTCTATTACTTGTCTTACACACATTTAGAAAATACACTGACATCGAATGGTTGTGTAGAACCAAGATTGTAATTAAGTAGCTATTTTGATGAACATTTGTTGTTACCGCTCAAGTAGCATTAAACACTATTTACTAGTACATAGGAATTAAATAAATATATGTATTTTACTTTCTATAAAAATTTAATAAAATAAAACTTAATAGGAGGAATAGACTGGACTCGCCGTTGCGCTTTCATTACTTTTATCATGAAAATAAAAGTATTAGAAAGTGAACTCAGACGTTCAGATTGCTATACAACAAGACTTAACTAATTCTTATGTTACGATGTTATCGCCGTTTTTAGAAATAATTTTAAACCTGAAATAGGTATTTTACTATTATATACAGTTGCCAGATCGAAATAATACAATTTACTAATCACATACTGAAAAAAAAAATGTTGGTAGTAATAAGCATACGTAGTAGCATAAAGATTATCTTTCCATTTAAGCAAATATTTTAGGAACTGAAGTACGTATTACATGACGATACACATATAGCACAGAAAGGGTACAGATAAAGGCCACGATTTATCGGTGCACCCAAAGTAAGTTTTCAATTTATCAAATTTGCAGGTCACCACAAAAATTGATACAATTGGTATGTTTTTATATCAATAGAATAAATAATATGCACAGTAAATTAAAAATTAACTGTGCAAATAAAAAAGACGTGTCTTTACAAAACTAAGATATTTTACAAATAAGTAGCACTTAAAAACTAAGAGATCTCAACTCTCACGAGTCGGAGAGTAACTTAAATTCGAATTTCTTTTAAGTGAAAAATAATTCTTAATATAACTATGAGACATACATCTATATAAAGATTTAATTACATGTATTACATTAATTACTTGTTACTATTACACCAAATTACTGATTAATAACAGTTATTAATCACACAACGTTTATAATCTAGTGTAAATCCTTTTGTGAGTGTGAACACACTATTTCTCCTTATCGCCATTGGCACCCCTCTTTTTCTGTAAAAGAAATTACATGTCCTCAGGTGAAACTAATCTACAGGAAGCATTTTGCAGGCCAAAAAAAACAATAATTACAATGTACTGCAACTAGACTAGATTTTTTTTTATTAATATTCTAAAATGTGTCTGAACTTATTGTTTTGTCCCGCTTGAACTAACGTTAAGGAAATAAAATGTAAATAAAATGAATCATATATTTAATTTAAGGCTCTCTCTACTAATATTTTACATGTTGGAAAGAAATTGTTTTCAGCTTATATAATCGTGGCAGAACAAATTTCCTTTGTGAGTATAGCTTCAGAAGAAACATCGAAATGGATTTGTTTCTTTTTAATAGTATATTTCTGTAACATCATTACAAAATTATATTAACTATAAATTAAAAAAGAATTGTTTTATATACTGAAAAAAGAAGATTACTAACTTTGTCTTTCGCCCTAGGATCGGCGTTCTTTGATCTTTCTTTTTCAAGGTGGGAGTGTAGAGAAGCCAGCTCTGCATTGAGCTCGGCTTGTACTGACCGTAGCCTCTCTACTTCTATAAGGACTTCTGCTTTATCTTTCACTGGAAACAAAGGCCCAAATATAATCTTCTATTCTCTTCTACTTTTATAGATATTTGGAATTTAAATACTTACTTTCGCCCTGTCCAAGAATATTGCATAATTTTTTATTTCGTGACTTTACTGTAAGAAGTTCTTCCTTCAATTTTGTTACTTCCTGCTTCAATGCTGTAATTTCTTTGTCCTTCCTTTCCAGGGCTTCTATGTACTGTACTCTTGTTATTATTTCATCAGACACAGTCTGGTGTCGTACTCTATCTATTATTTTATCCTTTAGAAGCTCATGTTTTGTTTCATCTTGAACCCTTTCAAAAAATTTGGTATCTTTCTCGGGTATTTGAGATTCTGCTTGTGGACTTTTATCTTCTTCATTGGTTGCTATAAAGACAGTATTTTTAAATAATATGCATATTTAAATATGACTACTTCCTACATTGTTCTATACCATTTATATAATATACAAAATTTAACATATATAATATAGAAATTGCAAAAACTGCCTCTTCTGTCTAGTTGTTACACCTAGCTGTAGACCACAAGATCCTGGGTTCAATCTTGTATTGTGTAAAGGTTAGGTTGATATTTATTTCTCCATAAAGGGGAAATGTGTGAAATGGTCAGCAGTTAGTGAAGAATGCCTTCCCTTTTTGGAAAGTCTCAGTCATCAGTCTTGAGTTTTAAAATAGTACCTCAGAGCATATTTAGCAGTAATTTCTGGCTATTATCACTAATTTACAAGTGGTAGTTGTTAAAGCTCTCTCCCGGTAGTGGTTTGTAAGCTCATAAATCATCACTTCTATGAAAGAGAACATCCATGCCAGACATTCATAGGTAAACTTTAACTTCATACCTCTTGAACCATCACAATTTCCCATTTCATTAAACTGCTCTAAGCTCATGACATTTTTTTTCTTATTTTTCTTATTCCCACTTCGAGATTGCTCAGATTTTTTTTCAACATCTGCATCTTTTTTTAGCTGTTTGTATACATCTTTTTTTTCTTCAAAATCAAGTTTTGACAATAATATAGCCTATGGACAAAATATTTTATTGCTATTTTTAGGGAAGTAGATTTTTAAATATAGACCTTTTAAATTTGATTTAACAAAATAAACTTGAAAAAGTAGAAACTTACCTGTTGAAGTTCAGATTCGAAATTGCCATGAACAAGTTCCTCATCCTTTTGCTTCCACATTTCCCATTGTTCTGAAGTTGCATCAGTTGGTTTCGGCTTACGTTTCTTAGGAACATTCTGTAGATTCAATTTTCCTTACAATTATAAAAGAAAAAAACAATGATGGTGTCCTATAATCCTTTTTATAAAATACCCTTAATGGTGCACTTTCAAATCCAAATAAGTCTTAGCAACAAAGACATTCATATATGAAATCATATTTAAAATACATATTCTAGATATAAAACACAACAACAAAACAGTATATTCTTAAAGTGAATGTTTTAAAGTCAAGTTTTAATGGGCATACTTACTTGGGGTTTGTTGTTGTTATTATTTTTAGTTTTTTTAACAGGCTCTTTATTTTTTGCATTGTTTGTTTTACTCTTTTTCGATTTCTGGGTGTTATTTGGAGAAGTATCATCATCCTCTATTTTGAGACCCGCAAACCGAGATTGAACAACAACAGCAGCCATTTTTACGATAGCCCTGCACAGGTATAACATATGTATAAGCAATACAACGGGATATTTGCAATAATTGATTATTGGAATCGGACCGGATTTCAAGCTAAAGTTCTATCTGGTATTATGGTAATGATGTCCAGAGGCTCCCAAATATCTTTTAAACTCGACCTGAAATATTGTGATAATGTTTTGAAAATATTTTTTCCTTCCACCGGCGTTTTCAAAACGCTGTGAGTTCTTATTAGACTAGAGCGCGAAATACATAGTTACCTATTTTAACTGTGACAAAGTGTATGAGGTGTTTGGTATTTTCAAATTTAACTTTTATGTATCCTTTTTCTTGTAGCAGGAGATAGAAGAACGAGGGCAAACGGGGAAATTTATAGGAAATAGAGAACACAGATGTAGGTAGGTTTGAGGTTTCAAGATTTAAGGCTGGTTACAGACAAAAGACAATTTGGACATCACCACACATAGTTATAGACTGTGTTTGTCTTCAAAAATTGGCCAAATTTTCTCCCAAAATTTAGGATATTTTGTTATTACATAAATTAAGTGCAATTTTTATCAATTATTCTTTTACGTTAACTTATTAGATTATAAAATAAAGGCACAAAACGGTTTAGGAGGTGGCATCACTGACTTCTGAATAGTGCCCTGTCACGGACTGTCACAGGCTGTTTGTTTTGTTCATCGCAATTTATTGTTTTGTATGGAAAAGGCCAATATTGTAAATTGAATTTTTTATTAAAATACAACTTATCTGTCCGATATAGAAGAGCCAATTTAAATCTCCGTAATATTTAAAGACTAATATTGTAGACGTGCATTGTTCAGGTAAATATAATATATAATGAAAGTGTCAGAAAACTGACTATATCATTCTTTGATTTTTACTTCTTGTTTATTTATAGAATGGATCCAGTGGAGATACAACCCTGTGTATTTTTAGGGATAAAAGTGAAGCCTGGACCTATTGAAAGATTTAAGGTTGAAAACTTCCCTCTTGACAATACTGTCGATAATTTAAAAACGGAAGCTGGGAAAAAAGCCAATGTTCCGTCATCGTCCTTAGGTAATCTTGATTAATGTTATATTATTTACAGATTCAAGACGTAATATTGTTGCACCAATCCTTTGATTTTACTAACTATATTGTTACTTCTTATTTATATATTTTTTACATCCAGAACTCATATATCATGGCAAAATACTTCGAGATACTGCCACTCTGTCTGATAGTGGTGTAAAAAGTGGTGAAATGGTCCATGTGGTTAAAAAGAAGGAACAAAATCCATCCCCACCACTGCAGACTTTTACTGATGCAGAATTACAACATTTAAATTCTTCAATGAGAACCTTAGGCTGCACTCCTAATGCTCCAGGTTGGACTAGAGCAATGCAGGTTTGTCTGTTACAAGAAAGTCAATTAAATACAAAAATAAGTAAATACATATTTTTAAACTACTTCTTTCTTGTTTGGTATTCATTTTATTTATGCTAAAAAGAAACTGAACTCCATTTCCCCATGGAAAATGGGGCAAAGATAATTCTACCTAAGCCCAGAACCTCTTGTGCTTATCGCAATGCTAGGCAACACATTTAACCAGTCAGCAATGGAATCAAATTTTTTACATATTTAGAAATTGTATACTAAATATAGTTTTAGTGCAATATTTCTTTAATTATTAATCAATGTCATTTCAGTTATTAAATGATGAGTCTGTGATAGCGGAAATAATGGAACACGCCCCATCCTTGGCTGAAGATTGCACAACATTGTCAATTTTACATGAAGTGGAATTACTTGCCGCTCTAGGGGCCAATGTCCAAACCATGAGACGTGGTGCTGACGCCCATCCAGAGTTGCCCAATGCATTAAGACATTTATTGAGATTAGTCTGTTCAAGGTGTCACGCACCTACAACGGAAGGCAGTAAGCTTTTTCTTGATAAGTGTATTTTGTAAAAAATCTTTGGAAGATTAAACCAAACAAAAGACCACAGTATCTGTGTGGCATTGATCTTATACATTTTTTAAATGCCTTATGTAGATTTTAAATAACATGATATTATATTTATGCCTTAAAGTTTGGTAAATAAATGCACAAATACTGTCTGTAGTTTATGCGAGTAGTGCACATTTAAAAAAAAAATTTAACGGTTAACACATTTAAATAAAAAAACTTTAACATCTCGGTTGCTTTGCAGCAAATGTCGGGCCGAAATTCTTTTTAAATAAGTTGAACTAATGTGTCGCGTTTTAAACTGTTAAAGTGTTTTATTTAAATAAATGCAAAATCTTTCTTGAACAGCACCAACATCTGGCTTTGCGTATTCACTAGAAGCTCTATCTGAGGATGAAGATGTTGAAGAGGAAGAGAATGAAGAGACTGAGGGAAGAAGTGCTATCACTCAAGAGCAGTTAGCTGCTGCTCTGCAGGTAATTAATTTGAATAGTGTAAATAAGTATATCAAGGATTGACAACTTAGAAAAAAGTCTTATATTGGTTATCAAATTTTAGTATGTACTACAAAAATCTAATAGTAGTCTTCAAGGTAAATAATCAAGCAATTAGGAGTTTGGACAGACCATTATATATATTTTATCTTACAGGAAGCAACTGAAGCAGTTCTGTCATCAAATTCTCGTACTACAGGTGGCAGTGTTCGGGATAACTTGGTTGATTTTATAGAAGCCGCAATACACCTTGACCCATCTTCTAATGCTTCAGGTATATTTAACATAGTAGTAGCATTTAAATAAAACACTCTTAACAATTTAAAACGCCAAATATTTTATTTGCCATTTTCCAGAATGTACGGGTTAATTAAGAATTGTCTGTAGTTTATTACTTTTATTACACACATGAAAAAAAATTTGTAATAATTTTAAACACATAAATATACTAGTTACATTGTTATGAAGCAAATAAAAAATAAATGTCTTTAAATGAAATAGCAAAAATTTCTCAATGAAATATGTAATTCGGGAGTATAAATTCTCTAGAGGTTTAATTGCAATGCATTTGTGACAATGCAAATACAGATATTGTATGTATATATAAAACATAAAATATTATTAAAAAGAACTTAAGGTATTATGGTATAATTTTTGTGTTTAGATAGAGGCAGCTGTCAAGTTCTCGACCTGAAACAATATGTATAATGTGTCTTAAACTCTGCTTAAATTTTAGCTTCCCGCACCCAAGGAGATGCGGGCAGTAGTGGAACTCGATCCGTGATAACTCCAGAGATGTTTAGTGAAGCTATTAGCGTGGCTATGACGCGAAGTACGGCTCCTCCAACACCCATGGAACAGAGTACTGCAGGTTCAAAATTGTATTATTTCAATAATGTTATGATAAAGAACAATTCACTTAAACTTTACACTACAAACGAAAAATATTACTATAAAAGATAGCTGATTGTTATATTCATATTACAGCGTCCTCTTCTCAGAGTCCAGCAGAACGTAATGAAGATTACTCAACGCAACTCAACCACATGCACGAAATGGGTTTACTTGACGACGCAATAAATGTTCGAGCTCTACTTATCTGCTCTGGTAAATAAGGAACGATTTTTATTACTTGAAGAAACTTTTTGGTAAAATAAAATAATAAGAATGTTCAATCGTTACTGGAAGACTTAAAAATTCAGAATCGAATTTAGACAGTTCAGTTAGTATATTCAGTTAGGACATATTTTACTATGATTCTCATAATTGAAACTTTTCTTTACTTCCTATTACTACTTCTTTCGCAGGTGACGTCAACGCAGCCATTAATCTAGTTTTTAGCGGAGCTATTGGGGATGATTGAAATCTTGACGTGACGTTTTGATCAATTTCATACCTTCTTTTTTTATCAAACTCAAAAATCATAAATTTTAGGCAATTAATATTATCTAAAATAAAAGTGTACTTGCTTTCATGTCATTTATTAACTATTATAAATTTAAAATACTTAAATAATATCACTGGATATAATCCTTAAGGGCAAGTAATAAATGAAAATAATACTATTTGAGTTTCATTGATATGAACTACCCAATCATTAGAAAATGGTAGAACTAACATACTAATTTAAGAATTGTTAATATGCTTATTTTATGTAGGTACGTTTTAATAACAGAAATATAGTTATTTAATATTATATGTAATATAATTTCTCATGGACTACATACTGTAGTTACAAATGTTAGTGAGTTTAATGAAATATAAATCATTGGATAGTTATGTATGACTATATAACATGACTATGTTCTACATAGGTATTTAGCCTCTAGGTATCTCAAAGATACTTAATAAGAAAAAGTATATATAATGAATACTATATGTATATACCATTAATGTTTCATTTTATAGTTCATGGTACGCTTGTCATATTGTTTCTGATATGTACTATTGTCTTTAGTGCGGCATTGTTCGCGTTTCTTCATACGGCGAAAATACCATCGAGCTGTGTTGGTTGCTGTTTCACCGAATAATTCCTGCTCAAGTTTCTGTCTAGCTTCTTTACGCAAGTCAACCCTTTTTTCATACCAATTATCTTGAGTGCCTTTTTTGGTTTTCTTCTTTTTTTGTTTATCTGACACTGTAGATTTTAAAATAGTGTCGGAAACATTGGTGAGTTTCGATTGGGATGACACATTTTGTTCAGAGGCAGAATCAGATGTAACTTTAAGATCTTGTAATGATGATGGTAAGTCATCATAGTCCTTTATGTAACCAGTCTTCATTTCCCATTGTTGATATTTATTTCGTCTCTTTTGTTTCCTCAAAGATTTGTGATGGTTATATTTTTTCTTGTCTTCTTTATTTCTCTGCTTAATATACCAGTCATCTTTTGTTATTTCTTGATCGCTGATAGTCTGCTGGGAGTACTTCTCATCATTGCTTTTCAACTTCTTTTTAAATTCAGATTTCAGCTTACTTTCAAAAAATTTATCAACTTCTCTTTTGTAATTTTTTTTACTATAATTGTTGCTTTTTAATGAATCGGCATAACTTATTTTGACAAAAGGTTCATTTGGAAAAATATCTTTTGACTGTTTATTTGAAATGATGTCGCTTTGATGGTTGTTTGTTGATTTGCTTTTTTCATCCCTGAGCCTTTTAGTTATTTCATTATCAAGCCAATTCTTATTCTTCTGATAAATATTTTCAATATTTTTGAGGTCATCTAAGAATTCCTTTTCAAACACTGGCTCAATCAAATGACTTTGTAATGTATTCTTATTTCCCTCATCCAAACACTTTGTAATTTGATTAACATTCTGACTACCTAAAGGTTCTTCAAAGACCTTCTTGCATCTATTTTGTTTAACTGGTACTAGAGACTGATGATACTGACTTAACTCCTTCAATTTACTGCGCAAATATGCATTTTCTTCTTGTAATTTGTACAGATTTGATAAAATTTTATTTACTGAGGGGGGATTTTGTACTGAGCAATCATTTTTGGCTCCCCACATGTGTCCTATTGCCACACCAGCAGCTGTTATAACACTTCCCAGCATTATAATATTAAGGACAGTACTGAGTCTCTTATTTCGTCTATGGACATAGATTTTGTGTTTATTATTATCCCCCAAGAAGTCATGTTCGTCAACTAAAATTTTGTTATTCTTAAAATTAGACAAATGTTGATCAACGGATACAAATTGAGGAATGTCTTGCTCAATAGGACTCATTGTATCCGATATGAAATTTTCATTGCCAATGTGGATTTCATGGTCACTGTCACTAATAATAGAAATACCATCAGTATCTTCATCCCTTTCATGATTTTCTGTTGTAGGACTGGAACAGAATAAACAATTAATGTTTTGTATTTGTTAATGGTACCCTGACCGTAGTCAATCAAAAGTCATGCATAAATAAATTACTCTGCCTGAAACTTTAAATAAGATTCAGCTCTTCCAAAAAGCAACAAATAAGAAATTATACAGACTATTTTAAGTAAAACTTCAACCAAAATAAACTCTTGTTACAAAGCGAAATAAAATTTGTTTATATTTACCTTTCTACTTGCGGTTCTTCAAAATCTGGAGGTTCATCGGCAAAGGCTGGACTTGATTCCAGCAACGTCCAGCTTTCGCCTGAATCTGAATCACTCTGTTCTAACAATCTGTCCATTTTCAAAATAAAAGGGAGTATAATCCTAAGAATGGGTCGGCTTAAAATATGACGCAAAATAATAAACCCGACAATCTATTGCCCATGAAGTATATATAAGTGCAAACCAAATAATTTGGAAAGCACAAACACGCAAATTTTTTTACATCAAAATTTTTAAGCAAAATACATTGTTTTTTGTGTTTTTAATAAGTCTGAAATCAAGAATGAGGAATTGGAAACTGCGTTGTGTTTTTGTTTTCTTGCCTGATGCTACAGATAGTTCTCAGCTTCAACTGTTGAAACCACAGAGTGTTATGGCGGCTCTACACTGTGGCGAAAATATTGACGAATGTATAATGGCGGCTCTACACGATGGCGAACATTGTGGCAAAGATCTTGGCCGACAGATTGTGATGGCGTCCACACGTTGGACGGTCAATCTTTGGTCTTTGGTCAAAAAAATGGATAATATATTTGTTGTTAATTTCACACCCACGCCCTCATGTCAATGTCATCCAACTCAAAACCTCAATATCCATTTTTTCGTCCGCACATCGGCCCGAACCGTCAACCGAAACAAACTGATTGACCGTCCATCGTATGGACGCCATCACGATCTCTCGGCCAAAATCTTTGCCACAGTGTTTGCCAATATCTTCGCCATCGTGTAGAGGCGCCATTACAACCATAGCCTACGCATTATTTTTGTTTATTTAGGCATAAGGCCATAAGCTACTTGATAGGCTTTGGACTAGGGTACGATTTGCGTTAAAAATAATGAAGCCCTAGAATATTTATTTGATGTGTTTGAAGCAATAACTATTCCATAATTATATTGTAGTATCAAGAAGTCACTTAATAAAACATGTTCTTTTCTAATTTATGATAAAGTATATAGATACATTTGCTTTGTAAGTAAAATACATTACAAAAAACGAATACGAAGACGACAGTGTGAATGCAATAGCAAATTCATGAGCAAATAGGATAATTCCTTTAGCACATATTTGAGGGTAGACTTAACTTGGTATACAACGCTTTCATAGTTTCTTAACTTAGGCGCATTTTTAAAGAAAAGATTTGTATACTTATGTTTATTATTTATTATGTGAGTCTTATTTACGGAATGTATTTGTCAATGTTTGGGTCTTCAATTGATTGCTGTTTATCACAAGTAAATGCAATTGTCATAGCATATCTCACACCAGATGTTACCCTTTCAACAAAATGTAAATTCTCATGTCCACTAGTAAAAATACTGAGCCTTCCTTTTCTTGGTTCAATAGTTGTGTTATATTTATCATCTAGGAACACAAATCTCCCTCCTTCAAAATCTACATTATAATCATTCAAATACAATAGGCTAGTATAGTGAAAAGAAGAGTAGGTTTCCTGCAACATTAAATTTTTAAGCTGTATAATCTTATTTTATGTATACAAAAAATTTGTTTATTAACAGGTGCAAGAAGAATCATCACAATAAATTTAATAAAATATTGAAGAGAAGGTATAAAATTAGAAACTGACAAATATAATTTGACTAAAAACATCAGTTTTAATGTTTTTTTTTTTAACAAAAAAAAACACAACACAACAAACACATAGCAACAGGCTTTACAAGGTAATTGATAACTGTGTTACATAGATACTTTGTAACATAACAATTTGAACAAAAACTCAACAAATTTGCCCTATCTATTTTGTATAAAAAATTAACACCCTGCCTATTTTGTTTTTGGGACTATTTATTACCATAAAAGAATGAACGTTAAATTTTGTGATAATCAAATTACTGAGATACCCTGTTAAATAACTAGAATTTTTACATACTTTGTCCACATGAGAATGCCAATATTCATCATGTTTTGTAACTGCATTTTTTGACGTTATTTCAGATATAAATGTGGGTTTTGTTAAATATATCTTGTCTACATCAACACCAAAATTATTTGCAATAGTGTGCCTTACTTTCTCTTTAACACCCTAAAACATTAAACATATGTTTTTATTAGGTCAATTTTTTTTTTTTTAATGTTTATAAACCCTAATTTAACTTACCCGGTACAAGTTGAAGTCATCCTCAGTAAATAGTTTTTTCATATTTGGAGACTCATAAATATTAATAAAAAATTGCCCTTTTGACATAGCACCGCTGTGTAAATCAATAATTGAAGCTCCACCCAATGACCGACCATATTTCAGGCCCTTTTTTGCAATGAACAATAAATTGTCTACTTCGAGGGATGACACAACAGTATCTGTGACAAACCTTTTACATTTCTTAGGAAAACAGCCTTCATAAACATTAATTTCTTTCATGTACTCAGGGGAACATTGTAAAGTTTGTACTTTTCCAGATAACAATTTTTCACTTTGACTTGCAAAAATTCGTAACTTATCATCTTTCGATGTAAAATATACTACAATCAATAAAGCTGTTATAACCACAATACGAGATAGTACTCGCAAGGTGAGTCTTTGTTGTGTTATCCTGAAAAAACAAGCCCACAAATTTATTTACTAAATGGTAATTTTTTTTTGTTATTTACATAAATATTATTTGTACGTACGGCTTGTCCTTATCCTTATCTTTGCTTTTATTTGTATCCAGATTAGTTAAAGATTTGATAGTTCTTTTTTTAAGCTCAACCATTACGTGTTCAATTAATAAATGATATTATGCTGTTTTCCTTGAAAATTAAATAATTGAATAGACTTTGCTATTCCCTTATTTTGAGGATTCCTATCACATGCCTATATTGATTTTGACAGACATGATTTTTTTAAATTGACGGCTGGCAAGGAACCACTTAAATAAATGAGACATTCGTTACTCTCACAGACAAGTGACATTACCAGTATCTATTTAGAATGGGAAAGTCAAATTTCTTCAAATATGTATGTACTCTTTTAGGAATCAATGTTTTAAAAATTACTCCACCACAAAGAAAAATAATATATATATAATATACTTTGTCTTAAATTTAAGTACAGATATTCTAGATAGAGCCATACAATAATCTTAACTCTTAACAACATTTTAAATTTCAACATTTAGTCTGTGACTATGAACTATATAATTTCGTTGTAGGCATCTGTGACAGAAGGAAGTACCTATAATATAATAATTATTATTGTTGTTAAAATAATACACTGAAGTGCGAATTTTCAATTTCAGTTGTTCAATACCAGTTATATTGTGGATGTTTCAAAATTCTTTGTTTTTAAAGTTATGTTCAAGGTTTAAACATTGGTGGTGATTTTATAAATTGGCGGATATCGAGTGAATTTTGTCACTTTAAGCCATGTTTTTCGAAAATGTCGACGATGAAAATTTCAATCATGAAGTATTTCAAGTTATGAGTCGAGAAATTTGTAAGTATCGTTGTATACATACTTTCTTTGTAGGCGTATTATATTGAAAATACGTATTTTGGGCTGTTTTCAGATGCTATTACTGCTACCTCTCATTACAATCGCGTAAGAAGTGCACCAACACACACTGAAGATGGAATCCCCATAAGGAAGCTTTATGTATCTAACTTGCCTGCCAAGGTAAAACAAATAAATTTATTAATTGAAAATAATTTATATTATTGAGACTAATAAAAAGGTTTACCTTAATTTTGTAGACAACCCGATCTGAATTATTTGGTATATTTGCACCGTATGGCTTCATCAAGAGTTGCTGGTTGCGAATGGGAGACAGAGGTCCTAATAGAACACCGACCCCCGCTTATGCCTTTATCACATATAGTAATCCTGCGGATGCTCACAAGTAAGACTTAAGTACAGTATATCTTACATTAGGAAATATAGCAACATCACTGCAATGTGAGAAAAGTTTAATAACACAGTGGGTCTTTATATGAAAAGCGTATTTCATATGTGTATTAAAAACAACATATGTGTATCCCTTCTATTTGAATCCAGTACATACCCAATACAGCTAAACTAATTTTAACATGAACAATTTGAACAGGGCTCTTATAGCTCCACATTATGAAAAGCAGCTGCGTGGGGTCATCCTTAGAATATTCCCTGCAGACAGTTGGCATCAACCTGTAGAAGATAGCGAAGGGAGGGTATGCTGGAGGCCAAATGGTGAAAGATTAGATGCTAATAGTTACTTATCAAGTGCAGAAGCTGGACAAAAGCCTGGTATAGTATCCTTACAAACATGCTTTCATATAAGTTTGTATAGTACTGTATACAAACTTATACTAATTATGTCTATACAGAAGAAGTTGCATCTCCAGTAGTCGGTGGAGCGGAAAATTCCAACGTTGTATGCACATCTCAGGTAAAAGGGCATAACAATCATTTTTTAATTATCTTTAATTATTAATTTTTTTTATTGCATACAGTGTACACACTGCAATATACTAAATGTCTTTGCAGGATTCAGAAAAAGAAGAAAATGACCCTTGCAATATACTTAATATTTTGAATACTGACTGTCTTTCTCATATTCTCAGCTTTGTACCTATCAAAGATTTAATAAGATCAGAGAGAGTTAGTAAGAAATGGCAAGACATGATTGCTGAACATTTAATGAGTAAGTATTACTATTGTAATAATAATGATGTTGTAGGTGTGATTGAGCAAATGTTACATATTAAAAAAAACTTCCAAACAAGTTACAATACGATTTATTTGTAACGAATTCATAAGCAAAGCTTTGATCTGACCTTTCAGATGAATTACAGCAGTTGTGGTCAATTTAAAAATAAGTCGCTTCTAAATTAGTTTTATTTTTAATTTTATTTCAAATCGCCTAGTGTGATGTAATATAAGAATTTTTAAATATTTTTCTGATTGTTATGGGCCATGGCATGACATAAACTTGACATTTGATTTTATAGCAAAGATTAAAGTCTACATACAATGCAGGTATTCGCACTTTCAAAACATCCACATGGCGTGATAATCGTTTAACAACAGCTATCTTACGGCGAGTGCTGCAACGGTTCGGCTCCTCACTTTTACGACTCCATATTGACGATAACTGGTCAGCGCTTAATGACCGCACTGCTCATACAATTGGAAAGTTCTGTCCAAACCTTGAGGAACTTAAGGTATAACAACTAATAAAGTACTAGCTACAAAATGCATTGTATTATGTATATCCTTCAAACATATATTAACCATTGTAGGTAGTTGGTATGCTCACGAAAAATTGGAATCCACTAATTTATGGGTGCAAGGAACTCAAGGATATTTCATTTCTTTCATGCACAAAGGTAATTGTTTTAACCAGATCTGAATATCTAAAATTTTGATGAGTAATATGATTTTTTTTTAAGTGATGATTGTTTTTTGTCTAGCTAACAGATTCCAGTCTCGTACAAGTGGCAAGAGGTGATATAGCTGTTGAGAAAATAACAATAGCTAACAACACTCACGTCACAGGACTGTTCCTTACGGCTACGCATCCATTGCAACTCACATCGATCGTATTTTACAACTGCTACAGTTTACAAGGGACCGTCCTTTGTGCAGCAATGGACGCCCTTCCGAATCTAACGACACTGCACCTCGATCTCTGTCCATTAACATTGTGGAAAATTATACATTTAATACTCAAAAAAGTTCCGAAGTTAGAAGATCTGTCCCTCAGTGATTATACGTCCATGGAAGTCTCTTATAAGCTGAACGGTATCGAGCCATTTTGCGAAGCAATTGGAACTTTGACAGAACTCAAAAGGCTTAACTTAAGCAAAAACATTAATATTACGAATTCGGTGTTGAAGCAAGTGGCACAGTCTTGTCAAAAGCTGGAAAGCCTCAATGTCTCCTACTGTGACTCTAAAAGATTTCCTGGTGGGTTGCACAAAAATGTAAATTCTTAATAATTAAAATTATTAATGAATTTTTGTATGTCCTCATGATATATCTTTAAATATGAAGATAATTGGTTCTTTGAAATCTTTGTCTTTGTTGACCAAAAAACCTACTTTTTAATTTTTATGATTCAAAAAAATTTTGTACAATACACAATGTCTTTCTTATTGCAGGTGTAAGTGATGAGGGAATCATAGCAATCTGCTCGTCTTGCCCATTAATATCGGATCTAGATATTTCACATCTAGCAGGATTAACCAATGCTGGTTGCAAGGCGGCTTCAAAGCTTAAGCAACTGCAATCTATAACATCGCGAGGCAATTCTGCCCTGTCATCTGCTCCATTTAACGCCATAATCAATACCTGTCATAGCTTAAAGGTATGCTTTAAAATTTAAATATTTTTTCTTTGTCAGCTCCAACTTTAATTATCAAGTAACGTAAAATAAGACACTATGAAGAATTAAAAAATAACGATCCAAATCACTGTACTTTTATCCACGCATTGCAAGTAAAGAGCGAACCAACTATAACTCTACCCGAGGTTAGCAAGAAATGATATTCGTTATTTCTATGTTAATGGTGAGTTTCTATTTTAAGGAAATTGACGTTTGCGGATCGACAGGCGTGACGGAGGACGTGTTTACAAATGTAAAACGTTCACTCGATAAATACCCTCGCAATTTCAAAATATTCCTTGCCGACACAGCCGCTGATTGCCCGGGAGTAGAAATTATCGAGGTTGGTATTGGGAACTATCCATGCAATAAAATCTTAAATCTCTTTAGTTAATTAATCATATTCCGAATTTTCATTTTAGTTCATGCAACTTTGTTGTTTTCATACCTTATTCTACCCAAATCAATTTATTGACACATTTCCCATGCTAAATTATCATAGCTTTTTTAACTACTGTACCTGCCATTACAGTTTTGGAAACTCAGAATCCAGAGATTTTCATAGACGTCTTTTTTGCCTTGCCATTAAAATAATTTTTATTCATCAACTATTTGATGTGAAATTATTCTAAGTATTTTTTTTGCAGGAATTGGCAAAGTATAAATTACTGAATGTGGACTTTCATAACAATCGCAGTGACCCACCTGTTTGTCCAAACTTTGTGGACATAATAATTGATGACAGCTCTGATGAGTCATATGACGATGTATATGAACATGAATTCTATAATGATCTGATGGGTCAGAGTAAGTGATGCCTTTAAAATATTATTATCAGTAATTTAAAAATTTCATTACCTGAATACTGCACAATTTGTACGGACAAATGGACAAATTTATTGTATTTTTATTATAATATTATTTTATAGTATAGCTAGCATAATTCTAAATCTATGTCAACGTCGTGCTCTCTTCAATGTTTATATTGAAAGCAAATTTACAAGGTTATCTTAGTGAGCGTCCTATTTTCTACTTTTCTTGTAAATTATCTTAAAACAACTATCATAGGAAATAAATCAGTTGCACTACAGCACTCATTGGGTTTGGTTATCTCGCCTCCCTCTTAAACTTTATCTTATAACTATCTATATACATTCACGTATACTTTTCCGATCTGTTATACGCAACAATCTCTGGTACCCGAAACTCGGGAGTATACGTCTTAACTGTTCTACACTACACAACTAAAGGGCAGAGTAATTATTTTATTATCCTATGTATAAACAGGTATTCTCCTTCTTCTATGTTTGGTAACAATAGAACGATTTTAGCAAACACCTTGATAAATTTCTATTATAATATATGTAATATTGATATATGATGATTGATGATAGTACCTACAGTTTTCTTTTATTCAGTTATGGAGTCAGATTTTAGAATGCACACTTGAATACTTGTTGTTAGGTAAATATTTGTTAGTGCAAGGAAATCAATGGACATTAGAAGCCTGTAATATATATTTCCATTATTTAATTGGAAACCTATTTCATTGCAGTGTTGTCATCAGATGATGAGCTGCTGTTGGATGAAATGGAGTATGACCGTGAAGCGGAATTATTCCACAATGCTTTTCTACTATTCTGATGTATTATTTATTTGGTTATCCAAATCCTCATGTTTACTATGGACCATTGTTCAGTTCCGAGTAAAAAATATAGGTAGTGTATAGTGTAACCTATTTATCAACCTATGTATAAAGGTTAGTTTCTTTTTGCAGTTGTTTATGTTTGTTTTATGAAATTTTGTTTTTTAGGAGTACTTATGTTTGCTTTCTAAAGAGAACCAACATATAGATTAACTGTACTAGATCCACATGTATTTGTTTGTATATACATAAGAACGTCAATATACATATGTGAATGTGTTGCTGAAAATTAAAAAAAAATCTAAATGCTTTCATTATAATACATTGCATTTACATGTATATTACAAAGTACCAGTCTATAACCCTAGTGATAATAATATGCGAAGTCTGAAACATTGTGATAGATAAATTTTTTTGTATCTCTTATTTTTTCACAGTACTGGTATTATTTTTTATACGTAGTTTAAACTCAATAAGCTAGTTTATGTAACAGCTTTATCAAAGCTTCTAATGTACTTAATTGCACAATAATTCATGTAATATACATATTATAATACCCCATTCTCTTGGAGGCATACATAACTGTGTTCAAAGTTTGTTGTTGTTAAATATATACATAATATTGACTGTGATCTTGACCCTAGCTTTTCTTATTAAAATTTCAATGCTCTATTCCTTTTAGCCTAGTTTCTTAGAATTTTAAGTGGGTTTCTCTTTTAAATACATGATATTTATCATTTTGTAGAAACATTGTGTTAATTTAATTTGCAAATGAAGCAAAGGATTTACTTTTTTATGGAGAATTTCTTTTCTTTTAATGATATTGGGCAAAATCATCAAATACTATACTTTTTTTGTATTATTATTTAGATTTAGAGCATCCTCCCTTTTTGATGGTTTCAATGGAAAGATTTTCAAATAATTTCATTACAATTTCATTTGATTTATTAATTTAATATTGTTTTATTACTAAAAAATAATTTATTGTTTTTCATTCCATTAAAACAGTTTTATGTTTGTCTATCTTGTACATGCGTTTTAATTAAAAAATGTAAACAGTAATTTTGATTTATGCTTTAGAATAGAATTAGCATTATATATATGATGATAATTTCAATTATATTTGTGTCTTGTATTTTAACATTCAATTTAATAAATGAAAAAACTCTTTTTCTCTTGTATATTATTTCCAACATGTTTATTCCTAATATTACATACTAATATCATAATTTGTAGTTTTAATATGAATGTTCCACCACCTTCCCATAATTCCAACATCGGCAATGTTTGATAAAGCATTTAAATAGGAAGGTTTTAAATATGAACAATGGGCTTTATATATGTCACATCCATCGTTGAATTTGGAAGTATACATGAAGGAGACAATACCCAAACTAATATAATGCAGTACACCTTCATTATAACACTGTTGTATGAATCTTAAATGTTCTATAGACTTTTCGTTTCTGCAACCATCACTTATTAAAATAGCTTCATTTGTAACACTTTTGACTCTATCCTTAAAGTCAATTTCAGATGGGTTGTTTCTGGCTAAACCGTAAGCCGTTGCTAAACTTGTGCACCAAATTATTGCCTTCTTTGGATCGTCTTGAATGTCGGAGCGTAAATCTTGTAACATCTGCTTGTAATCAATATATAGATTTTTCCAAAATTTGGCCAATTTTTCAATAACTGTACCTTTCAGTTTTTCAGGAAATATCAAACGACTCTGAAGGTTACCTAAGAGTTCGGGTGTTTTCCTAAATGTTTTGAGCATCTTGACGTAATTGTTGGGGTCTAACGGAACTCAAATATAATAATGTTAAATGTTCCCCATATATCCTATTTCTTTATCAGAATTATAAATGAACTAATAATACCATTAATTCATGTTTACCACTGGAGCAAGTAAAAAATCTAAATGATTAATGATCACAGATCAGTTATGTCTACTTTCTACTACTGTCAGATTTCTTGTTAGAGAGTATAATATATAGTATATTTTTTCTTACTTGGCATTTTTGGTAAGAAACACAATTTATATAAAATCGTGATTTTCTCACAACGTTTACATTGAAGTACACTGAATACACTTGGAGACACTGGATTATTACGCAAGCGAGAATTATAAGAATTATTTTTTTAATATTAAAGTGATTTTGAATATTGGTAAAGGTCGTTTAGCTATCTTATTAGTGGCAATTACAACATCTCTTATAAAATAATAAAAGCCATATTTGTTGTGGTCTTTTTGTCAAGTCAGAAAAAATACACTATACCTATCCCATTCTTCACTACAGACGTAGTAAGTCAATGTCGATAATACAATCACCAAAAGCGCTATCTGTTGTTAAAATTTACCAACTAATTCATTAAAATTCTTAGGATCCGCTATATCGTTATATTAACTATTTATGTAAATATTTCTGTTGTGGCTATGACAAGAAATACTAATGCTGAAATGGAATTAAAATATTGTGCGATAGCTGTTCGTATTATACTCTGTCCGTAATCTATATCTATACATATAAAAGATGAAGAGTTTTTTTGTTTGACCGCACTAATCTCTACGGGTTCGAATTGTATTTTTTTTTGTGTTAGTTAGAACATTTATCGAGGAAGGAGGAAATGAGAACAAAATGGGGGAAATTTTTCATCTCTTTAAGTTTCTGATGCGTAGGCTGCGAAAACGTTTCAAGACACCCAAAAAATATGTATTAAAGAATGATTCCTCAATTTATATAGCTCAATTTAGCCTAGGTATATACGATATGCCAAATTGAGCCTGTCTATTACTGAAATTGCAGAGGTACTTTCAATAGAAATTTCGTAGATTAGTAAGTACAGGCTTAGGTAATACTTTTTATTATCGCACAGAAGAGTTCTGTTCTATATATATTTTTTAATTTTGTTATGCACTAGATTTTTATTGCTATAAAAAATAAAATAAAATTAATAAACGCATATGTAATAACTTCCATTGACTCCTTTATTATAGATACTTTTTCCTTACTAGTTTATTAAAAGGAATAGAAAAAGAAATAGGTATATAAGCATTGCATTATATATTTTATTTCATCATTAAATCACTAAACCAATTAGAAGTACTGTGTTCGTCATTGTTGGTTAAATAAATTTACCCTTTTCTTGTTGGCAAGGATCCACTTACACCCTTAGCTGCTCTGCGTTCCCGTATCTGGTTAACCATCTTCATTTCCGGGAATTCTGGCGGCTCAGGCATTTCGGGGGGTTTTGGTTCAGCTTGCCGAATATTCTAGATAAAAATTGAAACTTAGAAATTTTTGTTAATATGAAGGATATTGTCGTAAATTACTTTACCACAATTCTTTATTAATATTTTACCCTAAATACTGTCTATAGTTTACGCGAGTAGTACACATTTAAATAAAACACTTTAACGGTTTAAAACGCGATATATTAGTTAAACTTATTTGAAAATGATTTTTAACTTCGGCTCGACGTTTCGGATGCTTTGCAGCAGCCGTGACCACGGCTGTGTTTTATTTAAATATTTTACCCTGTTTAATTATAAAGCAGGATAGATCTCGGATAAATTATCTCAGGGACCGAAGTTAAACTTGCGACGTTCACTTACCCGTGCCAGAGGACGTAAGCCTTCTTCCAAATCCTGGGTAGCTTGTCCGAAGCAACTTACAAGGACTAAAGTGAAAACAACGCAATACAATAAATATTTCATTTTCAGTTCTCTCTTCATAATACAGAAGAACTTCACTTGTCAGATATTTATAAGCATGAAAGCAATTTTATTTAATTGTGTAATTCAAATGCCTTTGACAAACAATACTACTGTTTCCTGTGATGTACAATAATAATTGCAGTGGTTAAATTGTTTAGATGTCGATAAAATTAATTATGTAGGTACACCTACTCGTTACTCGTGATTCAGTAAAAATGTCATTATTGAAGTGCTTACATTTTTTCTGTAATATGACTACAGTCTTGGATTTAAGACGTTAAGAAAAAAAATGTAAAACCAAAACACGTTTTGAAGACGAGATTAATAACTAGGTAAAATTGGAGGTACCTACATATAACTAAAGACATGAAGAAAGTAGTTGTTAAATTTCGATTTGACTTCATACTTTGTGGAAAAGCCTGCGTGAATTTATCACAATCGCCATATTATATTTTGTAGGAAATATCAAACCCCGATAAGTCACACCCATAGTCGAAACTGAATTGAAGTAAATTTGAAATTTACTTGTTTTTTGATACTTTATTCCAAATCACGGTAAGTCCCCAAAAACTCACTAAACGAAGGTTAAAATGACGATTTATTTCAAACTCCGGTATGTCTATAGATAGTTAAAATCAAACTCAGTAAGTCCAATTGACCAATCAAGCAAATTTAGCGTCCAAGATGGCTGTTGTTAGAAGATTGTTGTGAGAACTTACACTTGTTTCGTCTATTTTATTATTGTTTGGGGAAAATGCATGATAAAATTAAGAATTTGTGTGCTGAATCCTGAAAAAGCAGAAGATTATGTTCAAATAGAAGAATAAGTCGAAAAGAAGGCTAAAAAGTAAAGCAAATCCTATATTTTTTGCAACCGTTAAGTTTTGAAAACCAGGTTGTACAAATGTTAAGAATTAAACATTTGAATTTAATATTTTTTTTCTATTAAGTGTATGTGTGTGTGTACATAAAAGGTTCTTTCCATTTTGAGATAAGTAAATATTGTAAACGTATTATCGAATACGAACGTATAAACGAAATAGTGCTTCGTTATTAGAAAAGGAAAGTATGATCAATATTCATACTCAAATGATTGACAGTTCCTTCTATAACATTAGAAGATATAAAAAAATATTTCATAAACATTTTGGCACTGACTGGTATCACATCCCTCAGTTGAAAATTATACAAATATCTTGCAAAGTAACAGAACTATGGTGACAGAAGAAGACATAATAAATATTCCGAAGACTAATCATGACAGATCTTAGATTTTTTTTATTAATCTACTAAATTAAACTACTACATGGTAATAAAAAAATCTGTGTTTTATTTTAGGTTTAGTAAAATATTATGATGAAGCAACCCTAATTACGGGATTAATATAGGATTTTCAAAACCAAGTAAGTCCTGTAGCTATTTTTCAATACCCGTTACGTCCATAGTGTATTTTTCAAACTCCGATATAAGTTTTAGTTTCAATCAAACACCGATATGTCCAAACTTTAACATGGTTTTAAAGCATAATATTATTAAAACTTTATTTTTATATATTCCTTATACTCACTAACGCCTATATAATCCCCAATTGCTGAAATTTCCATGAAATACAGTTCAGTACTAAAAACACATTTCTCTCATTTCCCAAGTTTCGTTTATGGTGGACATACCGTGATTTGATATTTGCCTACACAATTTTATGCTTCAACTTTCTACGAAGATAAACTGAGGTCGCTAGAGGCAGAGTAGCCTAACTGCAATTTTATGAATTGAGTAATTTATATTTCTAAAAATATTAATCTACAAGAGCACAGTGAACGGGAATTGTTAAAATAATAGTACACCTGGACGACCAGGTGGACCGACGACCTGGTCAAGGTAGCAGGGAAACGCTGGATTCAACTAGCGAACGACCGGTCGTACTGTAAGTCTATAGGGGAGGCCTATGTCCAGCAGTGGACACCGAACGGCTGAATCGTAAATCGTAAAAATAGTACAATTTCATTTTCGCCTAAATAATAGCGCATATTTTTTTCCTAAAACACGCATATTTCAATAATGAAATAAGCGTTTTTTGTTATTAAGCCACTATGCCTCTAGCAGCCTCAATTCACGGGAGAAATCAAGTCGGATGATAAGACATTGGATATAGCTTACATTTTTAAATAAAACACTTTAACGGTTTAAAACACGATATATTTTGGTTAAACTTTTTTTGATAATTATTTTAACTACGGTCCGTCGTTTGCAGCAGCCATTTTCACGGGGAGGGTACTAAAATATATCGCGTTTTAAACCGTTAAAGTGTTTTATTTAAATGTGGACTACATCCCTCAAAACAAGAGTTAGCTTAGATTAAGAAAATTCTGATCTTACGAGAAGCAATTTAATTTTTTTATACCTAAATTATCTTTCTATTCTTCCCAATCCATGTTCTTATATCGTTTTGTAGGTAGACGTTAAAACGAAACGAAATATATAATTGTTCAGTTAAAGTTTTCATATTTCATAGTAAAGCAATACTTGTAATACCATATTGTCATCTTAATAGTTAAGTAAGTAGTATTTTTCAATCAGGTAAACTTTTAATAATTACTATAATTATTTATTAATAATTAAGGATTAATAATTAGATTTTGTAATAACTTAATTTATAGAAACACATTTTTTATGGCAATAAAAAATTGTAATACCTACATAACATTTTATTTCCTGTGATTGGCCGGTAGACGGTGGGTGCTCACAACCTACCTACTTTTAAAAGTTAAGCGTCAAAATTTGAGATCGAAAACTTTTAGCTGCTTACAAAAGGGATTTAATTGTATAGTGTCGCTTCAGAAAGTAGTGTTTTAGCCATTATTGTGTTAAAGGTGTTTATAAGTTCCAGAAAAAGTTATATTTATCGTAAATATGGAGGCTCGAACACCGGTGGCTGCAGCAGCAAGGGGAAAAATTTTTAAAGCTCCAAAACGTTGTGGACGAGGAGTCCCTGAAATCACAAATGCTTACAAAGACAAGAAATGTTCTTGTCGCAGAGACAAGGCTATCGTATTTTGTCGAGTTTGTGGATTTCATTGTCACGGAAGGATACGTTTAACATGCGAACAACACCCTCGGGTGAGAACAAAAAATGAAAAGTTAAAATCTTAGTTTAATAGTGAAGTTCCCTTGGTTTTCTTGAAAAAGAAGATGCCCATAAAATCTAAGATTTGTATAAAAATGCTTAGCATATGAATCTTCATCTGTTCTTTTAATTTTGTTTCATGGCTTAAACTCTTTTTTTTTATGTATTCGTTTTCTACTGTATTTTATGTAAAATTTACTGTTTCCAGGTAACATTCTTGTTGGACTTGAGTGAATGCCCTCGCTGTCATACATCAGCATTCCTTGATGAGTACAAAGTTTAAATTTCATCAATACATTCTTTTTTTTATTTTTTGTTAAATATCTTAAGGATGTCCATTTTGTTTCGAACAAGTGTTCATTTTGTTTTATATACATTAAATGTCATAATATATTTATGCATCATTACATAAAAAACAGTTTTTCTGAGAAAAACTATTTTTTTATTACATGTGCAAACATAGAAGTTGCAAAAAAAGATTACTACATATCTGAGACTTGTTTTAGTTTTAAGAAGTGATTTTCTCGCCATGTCACTTACATTAAGTTCCTACTAGAATAAATGTAACAGAATTTAATCAATGTATTATTTATGTATGGGGTATACCAAAGGAAAATAAAATTATCATAGAGTTTTGTCAAAACTATCATATATTAATATAAACCTAAGTAACTAATCTAAAGAATTAATCTTAATTATATTGAAAACCAACTCGGTATATCACTACGATCCTTATTTCGCTCTAAATATTGTTTAAAGGTTTTCTTCGTTTCTTCCAGAGACTTAACATTATCCTCTAAATCCCCTTTCTTCTTCTCAAATATATTGGGAAATTCAAACTTCATGTTTTTTGGCTAGTACATGAAAACAAAAAAAATACATATATATAACTTCAAAATAAAATCATGGTACACAAAAAAGTCAAATATTAAACTTACCAGAGTTACAAATGCATATTTTATATCGTCTTCTTTTGTAACATAACCCTTTCCAATATCCTTTTTAAACTTTCCTGTTATTATCCTTGATCTAACATCTATAATGGGTATATTATAAATCTTTTCTAAATAGTTTCTTATGTCACTCTTGGTCATTTCCATCGAACATTGAAAGTGTACTATATTAGGTTGTTGTTGAGGGAAAGGACGAACGAGTTTCATCCAAAAATTTGGAAGAAATATACGAAGCTGAGGGTTGCCTCTTTGATAAATTGGATACCTGAAAGATAAAAGTATATATATTATTAAATTTAATCAAATGGTACCACATTTCTGTATATCTACAACATACCATCGAGTAGACATTATGATAATAAATTTATTTTTTCTAGACTGATTCTTTCTTCCTGTTTCAAGTAGTGTTTAAAATCCTCACATGAAAGGGCACATATATTAACCTATGCTGTTATGTAGATAATTAATTTCTTTTTAAACCTAAATAGTACAAATGACATACATATTACATTATGTATATGTATACCACATATACAGATATACCAAATTATACAGTTTAATTCCATAAGGGACTACGAACACAGAGTAAGACATGTTATTTCACAATCGCGGTGACTGTTGTTGTCACACGACAGTCAGCAGAGAGCGCTTCTAACAAAAATAAAGTGATTCTTCGTGTCAGTAATGTTTTGTCGTTGAAGGCCAAATATTGGTAGAGTTCACAAAACCTTTTTTACCTTTTAATAAAACTGGCATAAGAGAAATTACGACATAATATTATGTAGAAAAATATTTTAACACCATAGATAGTAATAATATATACGCAAAGGTTCGACGTAACGTATGTAAAATTTCATGGCATTGGCATTTGGTAATGGCAACATTAAATTTAGTTACAAAGATGGCGGTGGCTCTGTCACCCGATCAAGAATTGGTGAGTTTTAATTTGTTTATTTTGTTTAAAAACAGCTTAGGCAATGGTTCATCTGAACGTATAATATAATAATACTATTGGCAGTTCAATTTTTTATTACCCGTTATGAACAATTATTTTGAACTATTGTGTTCTTTTAAATTCTTAAGACTTACGTACCATGTCATCAATGTTTGTTTTGATTTCCTCTTCTCTTTTCGTTCTACGAAATTACGAAGATTACACTTGGCATTTGTGTCTCTAACATACTAATAAGGAATTAAATGTATTTGTTTATATATTCCTTTATATAATAGTTATATTATTATTGATAAACTGCAATAAACGTAATTACAGTTTCAAACCGCCCACATACCTAACACATCCTTTATTTCTATATCGTGTAAAGTACTTATCGTTTTCACATAGAAGTTTGTTTTTTTATTAAATTTGGTGTTATTTCAATAAATTGGTTTTCAAGCAAGTAGTTTTTGGTATTATGCCCTGCCCAACAAGAAAATATAAAGAGTTCTTGGGATATTAACCATTATTATATATGATAGGGTCACAAAGAGATGTCCTTTATGTAATTGAAATCAAGAGAAATGAATTTACTGAATTGTACACATCCATAAACTATTTTTAGTTATAAATCTTGAACTTTAGTATAGTCAAAAATACCGTTATATAGACTTACTCCATTAGAAATAGTCCTACTGATACTTAAAGCTTTTCCAATACATACTAAAAATTTTAAAGGAAATTTATATTAATAAATATATGTACTAAATACTTGTTACAATATTTCATGTAATAAGAAAGCTGTACCAAATGAGCAGAAAGTAATTCTGTAATGCAAACATTCTTTTTATTCCTATATTATGGGTATAAAATAGTTTCCAAATCCAAATAAACTGATGTTGCTCTTTATTAAGTTTTGTGGTCATTGATGCATTATCTCCCCTGATCCTAACAGGGGACTTAAATTAGTCCCCCGTTTGATTCAATTTATAATGTTGAGATGGGGGTCATTGTTTCTCACACTGAATATCTTTTCTGACTGGCGAGTGACACATTAAATGAAAAAATATATGTTGTCTGGCATTGAAAAAAAATGTTTTTTCTACATATTACGAAAACAAGCATTTCCTGTGGTATCCAAATTTTTTGATACCGTGATTGGCATTTTTCATTTACTGACCTGCTGTGAAATATGCATCCCTATTTTCCGCGAAGCTGCGGTGAATTCACGTGATTGATTGCATTTCTAGATAAAGTAACTGCGTGGAAGGTGACGCGAGCTATTTTTATCCAACAGTAGTGCACAGTCGAGCATTTTGTATAAATATTTTCCTTTAAGTTAATAATTATATTTATTCAAAAGATAACTGCAATAAAGTTGTTGTATTGAAAGAAAAAAAATGCACGCATTGTATCATGCCCAGCTTGCATTCAAACCTTTTAAGGAGGAAAGCAACATACAACATGTTTTAATACATTTACTTTTATTTTTCACGTTACTTAAATTACAAGAATTCGATACAGGGGTAGGGGTACAGGGTTAGCATACGCGGAATATAATTTAGGACATCAATTAGGTACTAAGTTGAGATCTGTGAAATATATATTCTTAGAGCTTTTAAATCATATGAAATCGTTAAATGTAGAAATATCGTGTTTGTACACAGATTGTTCTAATTAGTTCTCGTTGGTGTATGGCTTGTTGATTATTATTAGCAATGTATGGCTATTTTTTATCATTTTCTCTTAGTTACTTTGGACGTTGTCTGGAAATCTCGATATTAAATCGGTGGTAGGAATATCGATATTACCTCCGGGTCACAAATAACACGAAAAAGCCATGAAGTTTAATTGCGTTTCGGTTTCAGTCTGTGGACTTCCGAATATCCATCAAAGACAAAAGGTCGACAGCGCATCTTAGTCAAAATATATGGCTGGGGTATTCACCTAGCATCAAGTTAACCCATGCCGAACCCATGCCTATGCTCGTCTGTCCTCTTCTATCATTAAAAAATTCTAAGAATGACAAATTAACTAACATTTAAATTGCTAAGTTAATAGGTGTTTATACGTTAAGTTTGTTTTTTCGCAAATAACCTGAACTAGGGGTATTTGTATAGTTTTTTTTAGCAGTAGTACATTTAAAACTAAGGAGACATTTCATATTACTTTTTATGAAAAAAAGGGAATAAAATCTATGTCAACAGTATGAAACGCAAAATATAGGCAAAATATTAATGATTTCAAAAGTAATGGCTGATTCAGTTTTACTCTTTTAAAGGTGTTGACTGGCATAAGCATTAGATATAACTTTTTTAGAATGTATTTATAAACAACTCATGAGTGCATTGTATTCATTTATTCATTCATTCATTGTAAAGGTGATGCGAGACTCGAAGCACAGTTGATTCCCGCGGCTTCATGCGTACGATCGTGCGTTCGTTTTATCCATTGTTTTCAAAACAAAGCCGGTGCCTCGCCAAGTTTTAAGTTACATATTGTTGCTCTGTTTATGGGATGATATATAAGTTTCTACCAGTTGTGTTGTGTTATGCTCTTGTGTATTGACGTAAAATAGTAGTTACCGCGATTCATATGTTTATATTACGATTTTCACCAAAAATTTACACTCAGTAGTGACGACTTATCAAAGTGTTTTAGACCAAAAATATAAATATTTAATTGACACATGCCTTATGATTTAATTAGCTCTTAATCAGTACCTTAGTTGTCGATTAAATTGTTTATAAATATACATATTTATTTACAAATTGTATAGATATTGTACTTTGTTTTGTCTATTTTTAACTTGTGTCCATAAATGGATTTTATCCTTTAGCACGCGGCAACTGTTAATAGTTAATTTAACTCAACATTTCTATGTAAAGCATTACCAAGGCACATACTATGAAACATGAGATCTTTCGGGTTGAAAAAACACCGTTCTTTTTGTGCCACAGAACAGACTTGCTAAATATTCTTGAAACCCCTTGAAAGGGGCCTTTGCCCTGCAGTTAAACATTAAAGGCTCGACTTGGGTTCATAAGAATCCTCGTGTTTCTCTTAGCTTGTCGAGCACGCCGTCTATTGTTGATGTGTGTTAGAATATTATTTCGCAAGTCGTAGCTTTTATTTTCCTGCTTTAAAAAAGTTTGACATAGAATTAAATTTAACAGTGCTTGCTAGAATTGTTCTATCGAGCGATGCACTACTTTACAACAGCTTTCTACCGCAAAATGCGTAGCTAAAATATTTAAACTTTTAGTATTAATTTACATGTGTCCTACCAGGGATCTTGATGCAATCAAATAAGGTACATTTAATACGCTATTTGAATCTATAAAATTGAACGGCGAAAATAGTGCGTGCTCGGCAGTACTAATAGGCACACAGGATATACTACATCCCGGAAGAATAAGCCCTCCTCTAAAGCTGTCGCTTCCACAGCACGTGTTGTCTGTTTTAACTGGATTCCTTTCATACCTTACTTACTAGAATTGTGATATGTAAATATCCACTGTCCATTGGGCATTAAGACTCATACATGTTTCCACTTCGAACGATTAAACGTGTGTTGAGCTGAGTGGAAAAGTAAAGGACTAATGAATCAATTCAAGATGGCGTCAATTTTCATGAGGAACCTCATTATATTGTTACGGGTAAAATATTGTTTGTACTTAATTATTAGGATGCAAGAAGATAATAAACATAATCTCACATGATCTACATATATAGTAAAAATGTAATTGATCGCTGTCCGTGCCTGAGGTGATTAAAATATTATACGAGACTTATGCAATAGTATCATGAAAATGATTTTTGGAATTTTTGTCTGTTTGTCTATGCGCTTGTGTACGCAAATCTCGGAATCTCTTATCTCTCATCTAATCTAGACGTGGTTTTCAGTTATACCTATATATGTATGAACAACATATGCTTATCATTAGTAGGAAAAAGAAAGCCAATGCCTTATAAGTAAATACTTTGTGTTTTATAAGTTATCTAATGAATAATTTCACGGGTAAAATACTGTGTCGAAACTCGAACGTGTTCATTGAATGAGGTGGCCGCGTGGATACGGTTGTTTACGTAATAATTTATGTTTATAACATTCCTTTCACGCGATGAAATCAAAGAATAGTAGGAATAGTTCCTTCTGTTATACAATGTCATTAGTGGGTCTGTTATTTTACTATTTTTATATGTTTTCATGAAGTTATTGTTTATCTGTATTTACTTTATTTAATTACACATACAGTGCAGCAGATAAAATAGGCTGCATTTTAACACTGCTTAAAATAGGTTTTAAATTATAATGCCTTTAATGTTTTTTAGTATATAACTAAATCATATTGTAAAAATGTTGACTGAAGGTAAATTGGGCAACTAACAAATAAATCCTGTTAAGTTTCTCTCCATTAAGGCAATGGGTTTATTTCTTTCGTTTGCGTCGTAATTTAAAAATAGAACTTACAAAGTTAATTTTTAATTGAATTGAGTTCTTCCCTTTGTCATAAAGAAAAAAAAGATTTATTTGTAATGTTCCACTTTTGATTCATGTCATTCTTAATTTTTCAGGCTACAAAAGCCTTCTTGGACGCATTAAGTGAAGCCGGTGCGACGTGCGTCTCCCGCGCGACCGCTATAAAGTTTCTACTCGCTCGTAAGTTTGACGTTGCGCGGGCGCACACGCTCTGGAGGCAGCATGAAGCTACTCGCCGGAGGGAGGGACTCATCAAATTTGAACCCTTCGAAGATCCGCTGAAGACGGAACTTGAGACTGGAAAATTTACAATACTGGTAATGAAGCTAATCTAACTATTGAAAAGTATTTGTAGTTGAATGAAAAAAGGGATGAGTTAATGTGGAGCATTGCGTGTGTTTGAACTGATCGATTTCGTTTACAGGAAAGTAGGTCAGTCCATCGGCTGGTCGGTTGTCTGTGCCCTCTATAACCGAAACAATATATTATAATATTTCAGAATCTCTCGCGCTTAATGCAATTCAAAATGTATGGCTGTGGCGGTTGTTACTCAACAAAATCTTAAATCAATTAATAATATTGCATTTATGAAATATTTGCTGTATATATCGTTCATTCACATATCAGTTATTGACTCACTCCATTAGTTATACACTTTAAATAAATAAATTAGAGATAATATTTTATGCAAAATTTGATTTTTTTTTACATTTGCATTTGTTTCTTAAACAAGAAATGGGTTATAAAATTTTCATCCTATTTATTCTGACGAGCTCGTTTCTATTATTGAAGCACAATATATATCTTTTTATTATATATTCATATTCTACATATGGACTTGATTAAATCTTGATTTCTATGATATGTATGTAATATACAGTTGAGATGTGGATTCGATTCTCGAGGATGGATAGTAGGAGTTCCGCCCTTGTCCTAACGATGTAACCCTAACGTGCAAACCCGTGCTTCGGTTTTAGTCTGTGGATTTCCGATTATCTAAAACCAAAATAGGTCGTGTTTAGAATGTGATATTGTAGACAAATGATGGTATATGGTATTTTTTTTCGCAGCCTACGCGCGATGCGACTGGGGCAGCTATTGCGGTGTTCACTGCCAATAAACATTTTCCCAGTCTCACAACGCATCAGACCACGTTACAGGTGAATAGATGAAATATTGAAAAAAAATATCTGCCTTCCCACCTTATACAACTCACTAAACTGTGCTATTTGACGCGGCTTTGGTAAAGCCAGAAGAAGATAGACAAGACAGAAGATGTTTTGTCACTCCCGCTTTCACTACAAAACCGACTTTAATTCATAATATCTTCATTTAACGGCGCTGGTCGACTACCTCGTTGGATCAAAGGTGCCGTGAGGAAATTAGATTTTACAATAATTAACTAGGCGTGTTATTACACGCCTAGTTAAAAATTTGTCTCAATTGACTTTGTTTATTAATATTAACAAAGTAAACGTAAATTTCCGATCCCTAAAGAAATAATTTTACATGATTTTTTACTTATTAAGTAGTCTAAGGCTATAAAGCTAGTTTATTAAGCTATAAGTATGAAATAAAAAACATTCTCGCCCACGACATCCGAACAGCTCTACTCAGCTAAGTAACTTTGCAAAAAGACGGTGAACAATTTAGATTTAGATGTACAGTAGATCTTTACTATTAACAGTAGAGAGGACACCCTTGGTGCAATAACAAAAGTTTCTACTAATCAACCACCGCGGAACTGATTGGGTTTTTACTTCCACCCTCGTGACCATGGCTGCTGTAAAGCTCCCGAAACGTGGGACCGTAGTTAAAATAAATTGTAAATAAATTTAACTAATACATTTAACTACTACTCGTAATCGGACACGTTAGCTCAATTGATTAGAGTAACAGCCCGGATCGCTGTGAAAGCCGGTTCAAATCTTGACCGTGTCCTAAAAATTTTAATTTACACAGTACTTAACGTCATTATTTGTTCTAGGGTGTAGTGTACCAGCTTGATGTGGCATTACAATCAATTGAAACACAGCGCGCTGGTTTAGTTTTCATTTACGACATGACAGATTCAAAGTATACTAACTTTGACTATGAGCTATCACAGAAGATTCTAACTATGCTAAAGGTAAGGATTTTTTATTATGTCCCAAATTTGTTTATACTTACGTTATATTATTAGTATTTAAAAATAGATTTCTTAGACAAAGACAAATTGTACGTTAAGGACTTATTAAAAAAAAATTATCGAGAGAACAATTTTTCTGACAGATATAATTAAATTGAAATTTAACTGGCTTTGCTGTTGCACAAACTTTCATCGGATTAAGTTAGACGCATCTAAAGCGTTCAAGTTATTTTGCGGACAAGCTTTCGCTGCGTTCTTTTAAATGGCCGTTACCTTACAATACAATCCGTGGTCGGTAGTGTTTAATAAGGATTACAAATTATTATTTAATGTCCTCTTGACACTACAGACTTAATGGTTAAACACGTTACGGTAATAGCAAGAACTCAGGGGTGCGAATCCCCGGAAAAAATATAAATAGCTTCGGTCAGGGTGGACATAAAAGAAATTAACTATTACAAACAAAACAGACATACTATATGTCCCCATTGTCTGCCCCATGCCCCAAATAGGGAAAAAGTTGTTCCACGCACACCTCACAAATTTCAAAGTATGATTATGATATTTATATTTGATTTTAGTTGTTCTATTCATAACATTGTGCTTCAGTATTGTCCTACTTATTAAATAATAATTAACTTAGTATTGATTTTTAAAGGGTTTATACTTTTTTCAATTCCTACATTTGTTTTATGAGCACAGCGTGTAACTAATATAATATTTATAAAAAAATTATTAGGGTCACCTACACCAATCTACATATCGAGTTTAAGAAAAGGTTATAATAACAATATTGAAAGTGAGTGTTGTTTTACAACTTTCCTCTTCACAGAAGACTGGTTTCTTCCTAAGGGTTTTGTGCTATTATAAGATAGAAGTTTTCAAACTCTGTTTTCATCAAAATATGCTTTGAAAATTTTTGCTTCCAATTTTGTTGAGTTTCCAGATTGCTGGTGACTTGTGATAGGAATCCTCGTCATAATATCGATTCTAAGAAATTTTGTGAATATCGAAATTCGGCTCTGTTAAGGATTCTATAAAGTTTGACAGGTTTTCAAGTTTCAGCGGCTTAATTTCCTTTATAAATAAATTTTGACTGCTATTGACTTATACAGTCGGAATTTGTGTAAAATCATAAGTAGATTTATATTACAAACAATTCTTCAAATCTTATTTTAAAACATCAGAAGTTTGATTAATGAAATATTAATCAAACTTCTGATGTTATACTTCTAACATAGAAGCCACGATTAATAGAAAAATTAGGAACAAAAAACATCCTTGTTACTCTAAACATCATTATTTATATATATATATATATATATATATATCGTTATTCGTTAATAGAAAAGATGACACTTATGGTTTACAACAACATTTTTTATTTTTATAAGGTCTTTGTTTCAGGAAATTATGAATTTTATTACAGTATAGTAAGTAGTAAATTAATGATTTAAAAGAAACCATAATATGAGCGCGGCAGTAACAAGTTTCTTTAAATATTTATTGCAACTGGTACACATGTTTGAATTTAACACACAAATGCTGCCTAGAACATGTAAAGAATTAACGCAAAGGCAGGTTGAAGCGTTAAAAAGTTGCAAGTTTTCCGTGATTACTTTAAAATTCGTAGATGTTCGTAGCGCGGTGGGCGGATGCGCCCCGTAGAGGGAGCGCGCCGCCCGCCGTTCACCTATCTTTTACGTCAGTCGAGCTCGCGCATCCGACGGGCGTGCACGTCTCTGCGTCCACCTAAATACCGCATTTTATGTCAAATCAGTGATAATAATTGTGATCGACCTTGAAATATTGTCATCATATCAATACTAAAGTGTACGGTGATATTAGTTTCCAATTTTTGGATTATCGACCGTGTGACATCGAGTGCTTGTTTGGGAGTATTTCCGTGTTGATTCTGTTTGATATCAGTGTTTGAACGATTGTTGTGTCCGTTTATAAGGCACATTTGTTCAATCGATCGATAAGCCGACTATCTAACAGCTGAGCGGATTACACGACTACTCTTTTCACTTGAGGTAAATTGCTTCACATAAAATTATAAGGGCCATTACCTGGTTATTTATATCTATAAGGATTTTTAGCGTTTGTTGTTTGTATTCAACGTACAATAGAAACGCTTAGTGACTTATAGATATTGGATAAAATATTATTCAACTATATTATTAGTTCGCTATTTAATATATAAGAACAAATCGTAGTGTACATCATTTCGCTAACTTCATTAGGATAAACATAAATCAAGTACAACTAAGTTAATTTAAAGATTAAAATTTGGATTAAAAGACAATGGTCCTTTTAAAAAATCTTTAAAAAGTCATGAGAATTGCAAGTGTGTAACATTGATGGATGTTAAGTGATAATATATACATGGTTTGTTTATCTATTAATTGCTTTGTTAATTATTTAAATGAAATCTTAAACGTACGCACAGTGACGCCTGCAGCTATACGTAGTTCTTCATGTTTTAGCGTGGAAAACCGCCAAGAGAATGACGACACATTTTTCTATTTTTAACAGCTAATAATTTTCTCGGTTAATTGCATCTAAATAGTTTTTAATCGTTTTCCTAATACGAACGGAAATATTTTTAAACTAATTTGAATACACATATTTTCAGGGTTGCAGTAATAAACCTTTAAATTATCTGGCAAATATCTATTCTAATTGTATTTCTGTAAGAATAATAATAAATAAAGATAATAAATTATTTATAACCGTATGTTGCGTCATAAAATACTTCGCAGTAGTTATGCAAATATGTTATCAAAACGGTCTATCGCATGAAAATAAATGTTTGCTTGAATACTGTTAAAAATTAAATCTTAAGAATAGTCGCCTGTAAATGATGCGAAGTTAACTTGGGAGCGAAAGCCAAGGGCGAATGATTGCCAATTTTTCACAAGTCTATTATCTGTCCGGTCGGACTACGACGTAATTACATCATTAGATGAGCTCTCCGTGCCGTGTAGATTAACCTAGAATGCTCCAAGTGTCGGCTGTGAAGAGATAACATTTATCTTGTAAAAGTTTCCTTGTAACGTGGAAAATATTCCGACTCGTCACGCGAACTAGGTGGATTCAACTGTTTAATTAAATAGAGCAATATGCTTTGGTAACTGACTAATGACCTTCGTAAAAAATTAAATTGTTTACGAATTGGCTCCAATGTTTGCAATATATAGCTAAGAATCAACGGTTCAAACGAATATAATACGATATATTTTTTTTAAACAATTCCAAAAACTTTATATGAAACGTACGCCTTTGTAGTTAAATGGCTAACTAAACGTGTTGCCTGGCATTGCGTTAAGCTCTATAGGTCCTAGGTCCAAATCCCGAGGAAACGATAAATTATTTCGCTCGGGCAGGGCACACAAGTCTGATCAGCTACTTGTCTGTGAATAGAACCGATCAGTGAAACGGACACAGATGTGTTCGTCCCATGCCCCACGAGGGTATTCTAGATTTCTCTCACAGATTCCCACACACGCCGGGGTCACGCGCATCTTGCTGGGATATTTCAGCTTCGTGAACCTCGTGCTTGTCTCTTCTACTCTATCGTATATAAACTACATGTTTAACACGGTCGTGTTCGTCATCCTTGTAACAAAGCATCTAAAAAACAAGACGTATCGGTTCTATGAATTGTGAAAACATAGTTGCTACTTGCTAGTAGAACGCAAATAAATTAACGTGTTAGGGAATACGCAACGAAATATCGCAGCGTTAATTATACTTTGAAACCAGGGCTCAATCACGCATTGACACTTGAAACAAGCCATCCAGCCAAGTAGGTCCGCCAGAATGTAGTTGCAAGTGGATGTCTAGTATTGGTAACTGGCGTCATACATATATACACTAGTTGTGCCCGCGACGGTGACCGCGTCCGGTCGGCCTTACAAGTTAAACTTTAAAAAGTTTAAAAGTAGAAAACACATTTTTTTTGGTTTCTTGAATCGTTTTCGCAGCGTACGCAACGGGATCCCTCAAACTTGAATAATGTTCCCCGTTTTTACCACATTTTTTACCTTCTCTTCTATTGATCGCAGCTTAATGTTGTAAAGCCTAAAGCCCTCCTCGATAAATAGTCCAACCAACACAAAAATATTTTTTCAATTCGAACCAGCGGTTCCTGAGATTAGAGCGTTCAAACAAACGAACTCTTCAGCTTTATAATATTAGTATAGATTAGTACAGATTTATTTGCACGTAGATTTTAATAACTTTTTGGACTTCATAATGCTAATACCTTGAGGGCGGTGGTCATATAATGAATAATTAGATGAAAATTAACATAAAATTTTCTTTGATATTTTTGCATCATGTTCAGAATCTAACATTCCAATGATGAGATTTCTGTTTCCGTTTTATTTTTTATAGCGGATATCGCTAACAACTATTGTACTATCGCTAAATAAGTACTGTTTTTATGCAACGCTGGAATATAATTTCTTGCCACCATCATTAACGCAAGAGTATAATAAAAATCCATGTAACCATGTTCCACTTATGCGCTATCGTCCTCTGCACATTTAGTCATTTGAATAATGGAAAATAGAGACGTCGTATTATATTGTAATCGTCAATGAAACACAAGGCCGTCGCACTTAGTCGATTTTACGACTTTACATTTTGCATAAAAATACGATCGTTATGTTCTTTTATTAGGTACTAGATGACTTCGCAAATGTTTTTTGTTTTGAAGTATTTGACTGAATTTTGTTTTGAAATATGGTTAACATAAGAATAATTCTTGTGAGTTAATCTTAAAAGATAGTGTGTGAAATCCCGTTTCCCCCTCGTGGGGCATGGGGCGAACACATTTCTGTCCGTTTCACTTATCCGTTCTTTAACAGGCGAGTAGTTGATCAGACTTCTGTGCCCTGCCTGACCTGCAATTTGTTGTTTCCCTGGGATTCGAACCCAGGACCTCTAGCGCTTAACGCAATGCTAGGCAATACGTTTAACCATTTGGCTAC